TATATATATATATATATATATATATATATATATATAACGACGTATGTAGAATGATCCATTAATTTTTAAACGACTGGCGACCAATCAGAGGGTTCTGAAACGTCTGCACAGGACGCTGCGACGGCGATGCTACACTGCTATGGCGAGACGCTGCACGAGCCGGGACCCCTGCCGTGGAACTGCCGTTGCGGCTGAGACTGCTGTCTGCCTGTGGAAGCTGCTGGGGACGATCTTGATTCTTTGATTTACGGCGGTGGTCAGAGGTGATGGAGGCCCGACGACTGGGGCCCGCGACGTTCCGCTGCGGTGACTCGAAGTGACTGCCCTGTCGAGAGAGGACACCCGGGCTCGCCGAATTCACTCGCGACGGCGGTGGGCGGGATGGGGTTCGCGCGAGGGCCTGCCGCGGGGAGGCTGAGGGCGAGGGCAACACGCCCCTCACGCCGGAACCGTTCCGCTGATCCATTAATTGTGCCTGCGAGGGCCACCGGCTGGGGGTGGAGGAGGAGCGGCCGACGGGGACAGGGCTCAGGCTCTGTTTGGCAGGTTTGGAGAAGCTCCCACAGCTGCTGGGAGTCTGCCGTTCAGACTGCGGCGTCTTGCGTTCACTGCGGGTGCGACGACGGCAGATCTCCGCCTCTTGATCCGCCGTCGTCGAGGCGAGGGCGTCGATCTTCTCCCGCAGCTCCGACTGCGCCCTCCGTGCCTGTGGCTCCGTACAACAGTAGAATACAAGCAGCAGCACCAGACACAAAACTAGAAGGCAGACGCATGCGACAATGGGGCCCGCGGCGGGGATATCACCAAACTGGTGTACCTTCTCCCACGCGGTTGTGCCAGCAGCGCTGAGCCGGTCGAAGTTGGTCGACTGCTCTGCGGTCGGGGTGGTGATGCGGTGCTCAACGAAACTTAATGCGGGCTGGCGACGACGGGTAAAGCGCCACTCGCCGGTCGCGTCCACCGCGAGCGCCGCGCCGTCCACGGGACTACTCCCCCCCGTCGGCCACGCCGGCCAGGCGGTGCAGTTCGAGTTGTTCTGCAAGTACTTCGCACTGAAGTTGGTGTAAAACCCATTCACCGGCCGGGCGCCGTCCCAGAAGATCAACTGGGGGTCTAACTCAAGCACCGGCAGACGATCTGCGAGGGAGGGTGGATAGCGCCAGTATAACACGCAGCACAGGGGGTTGGGCGCGACGCAGTCAGCGGCGATGCCGGCGTGTAGCAGCGACTTCACACACCCAGCACCGCTATAAATAGCGACGTTAGGGTCTCCGCCTGCGTTGTAGGTGCATTCCTCAAAGATGCTCGTGACGCCGCCGCCGAGGGTCTGCAGGGTGGAGTGATTAAAGAGGTCCTGCAGCATGCGGCTCATGTCTTCGGTGAACACGTAGGGGTAGTTGTAGGAGGCGTCGTCCAGCATAGCCTCGTACTCACTCTGCACGTTGCGGCGCGCCTCGTAGGTGAACTGCTGACCGGCGCGTTGCTTCATAATAGATAGGGGAGAGGCTTCTGCGGTGAGAGCTGACAGTAGCGCTACGCAGGCCACGAGGACAAACACGAACCGGAGCGTCCGTAGGCGCACTGCGATGAACAGCTTCATTTGTGCTCTCTCTCTATCTCTAACTGTGCGTGTGTATGTGTGTCGGTGCTCGTGAGTGGGGACGAGGGAGTTTCCTGCAACGCACAGCCTAGTGTAGCGTGATAAATAAAAGCAACTCTGAAAAAAAAAGGAAAAATAAAAAGAGAGAAAGGTAAAAACAGCAAACAAACAGAGAAGAGGAAGAATGAAAGGAGTTATTATGAGATGAGGATGACGTTACGTGCGTTTTTTTGTGTTGTGGTTGACTGAGGCGTATAGGCAGGGTGTGGGTGAGATGGAGCGGGAGGGGGGCAGGGAATCGAAGGAGGGGTGGAGGATTCAACGTGGAAAGAAGAAGAGGCGAACGGTGGAGAGAGGGGGAGAGGGAAAAGAAGTTTGCCTCCATTTTGCAGCGCCTCCCACTAGGGGGTATTAAATAAGTTTTTTTTTTGGACTTTCTCCTTTTGACGTTTGCTGTTTTGGCGAAGACGACACGCCGACTTTGGTGTTGTAAGTGGTGATGTTAGAGCAAAATAGCAGACGACGCTTGAGCTTCAAGGAATAATAATGGTAATAATAAAGAAGCTATTACGCTTTTTTTAAAAAAAAGAGAAAATGGAAACTCTAACGTGCTGTTTGTGTCACACACGAATCAGGCTGCTGCTGGTGGTGGTGCTACTGCTGTTGTGGCGGACCTTGTCGTTGCGACAGCTCCCACTCGAGCTCTACTTGGCGCCTCAGGGATGCCTCCACCATTCCCTGCAAGGGCAGCACCACCTGCTCCTGCAGCTCCGTGAATCGATCACGCTCGTGCCGCAAGGCGTCGGCGAGCATCTGCACCTGCCACTCCAGTCGCTCGGCTCGCCGCTGCATGGCGAGGGCATCTTTGCTTCCGTCCTGCGCCACCGTCGCTGTTGCGGCTTCATTCGCGTGTAGCCTACCGTCGTTCCGCGTCGGTCGGTCGCCGAAAGGTGTTATCGGTGCGGGCGTAATCCAATGCGAAGGCTGCTGCTCCGCATGGGAACCGCCATCAGGAAGGAAGGAAATTTCGGGAGAGTCCACCGTGTGTGCGACAGACGTCTGCAGATGCGGCTCGACCGTGGCGTCATGCGTATTACGGAAATCTTCTTCTGGAAACATTAAAAGGCCGGCGTGAGACGCCTGCGTCGATGATTCCTTTTCCTTCGCCGCTGCGGTTGTTGCCGTGATTTGCAACGGCGCTGACGCTGCTGAGTCCGCCAACGCGTGCTCTCGTCGTCGCCGCTGCTGAAGAATGGATTCGGCGCGGGAACGATAGGGGGTGCTGAGGTAGTCGTGCAGGGCGTACAGCTTTGCTTCCAGCTCGTCCACCGTGAGAGAGGCAGGCGGATTTGCGATGGACATCGCTTTTCCTTCTCTATTAAATATATCTCCCTGTGATGAACCTTGAAACGATAACGGATGTATGGAGGGGGAGAGAAGGAAAAACGTTAGGCTTTGGATGGACGTGCTCTCTATGGGTACTTGGCGGCGGAAAGGACAGTTGGACGTCGCGGGGCTGCGGCGTGCTGGGTAGTGTCAAGGCCACAGTAATGCACCGCCGTGTACGCTGATGAAGGGAGACGAAGAAAAATGAAATCCGAACAGCAACGTACAAAGCAGACAAAGAAGGTATTAAAGGTGGAAGCGAGATGGTATGTGTGCGTAAAGGAGCCGCCGTTGTCTTTCTCTCTCTCGTTCTCGAGACAGCCCTCTCTCTCCCTCGCAAAAAGGCAGACGATTTTATTCGCATGCGTTGGCATGCACGTGAGCGGGAAAACAACAATACTAGTTACGCCGCCCTTCCACGTGCGATCACAGCACTGCTGCAGAGTACACGGCCGTACTTTTTACGGGAAACACGAAGGCAGCAGCTGCAACAACTAAAGAGAACGAAGACGCTGCTGTGCTCAGCAGAGACGCCCATTTCTAGCCAGCCACATGTACTCCCGCCATCCGGCAGGAAGCACACACACACACACGTTAAGTAAGAGTCCAAATGAATAGTTTTTGCTGTTACGGCGCCAGCTGACGCATAGAAAAGTTAAAGGTTAGAAAGAAGAACTGTTATTCGCGTAGACTCGTCGTCTATAATAATCTAAATCAGCGGGAAACAGAAACGCCATCGTGAAAGTGAAAGCGTCGTACACCCCACTTAGAAAGAAAGAAAACAAAAGAGTTAATTACCACCCATCCGCACCACGCAGCAGCTACCGCCATCTTTTTCCCCGTATGTCGCCTTAAACAGAAAGAAAAAAGGATTGTCGCTCCCTTTGCATTCTCTGTCTTACTTCGCAGCTCCGTCGGCGCCCGGCAAGGCGCGGCTGTGGTACTTGCGCTTGTAGCCCTGCGCCTTGCTGCGGTCAAAGAACTTCACCTTCTCCGCGTCCTCCAGGTGCTGACGGACCATGTGCAGGCCGGCCACGCTGTAGTCCATGCGGCTCACGCTCTCGTCGAGCCCTTCCGCGATGCGGCGACGGAGCGTGGCCAGACGGCGAGCCCCCCGCACCTCCGACACCTCCCCGCGAATGGCAGCCGCTCGCAGGCCCTGCGTCGCGCCCGACTCCGCCGGCATCAGGACAAGCGCCAAGACCATCTTCGAGGCCGTCTCGTAGTTCAGCACCGCCTTCTCCGTCAGCATCGACTCCAGCGCCGTCAGGAGGGCATCGACGTGGACGCTGGTCAGCGAGAGCAGCGTGTAGCGGAGTTCACTCGGGCGAATCGTCTCGATCACCGACCACAAATACTCCCAGATGGACAGGTTCAACAGCATCGGGTGCCGCGGCGTGGCCTCGTCGTTGTGCTGCAGGCGCTGCTGTTCCACGCTGACAATGTCGAGCGCCTCCATCAGGCGCTCTGCCGCCTCGGCGGTGGAGGCGGTCTGCTGACCTGCGATGCCGACCTCGGCTCCTCCGTTGGTGCTGTCCGCGCTGTCCAGCTTCTGCAGGGCAGCCCGCTTCGCCGCCTCCTCGTCCATCGCCTCCTGCGCCATGCGCTCCTCCTCCTCCTGCGGGAAAACGATGTCTTGTGTGCGCAGGAAGCACCGCACGCAGCGGTCAACGCCGGCGGTGGCGATGCACGTGCCGTTGGCGGTGGCCGCCACCGCCCAGACGCCGCGCTGATGCTGCCGGAAGAGCTGAATCATCGTCCAGTTGTCGCCGTCCCACTGCTTCACCGCGCCGTCCATCGACACGGTGAAGACGTAGTGGGTGTCCTCGAGGAACTCGACGTGGGTGACGTAGTCGTCGTGGGCGTGGATGGCGCGGTGGCAGTCACCGAAGTCGGTGCCCCAGAAGCGCAGGGACTTGTCCATGCCGACGGAGGCGACCAGCGTGCCATCCGTCGAGAAGGACAGCGAGGTCGGCGGCAGCTTGTGCCCGAAGAGCGAGAGGTAGGGCTTCATTGAATCCGCAAAGAAGAGCTGGATATTGTTGTTTTGCAGCCCAACGCCAAAGAAGCGGCCGTCAGGGCTGAAGGCGGCGCAGAGCGGCGTCTCGGTGAGTTCGATCTCCTGCTCCTGGACAAGGGTGGCCGCACCCACCGCATTCTCTTCCGCTTGTTCCTCCTCGTCTCCGCCGCTCTTCTTTCCTGCGTTCGCCTTTGCAGCCTTTTCTTGGGAGAGCCCAACCGACCACAACAGCAGCCGGCGATCCGCGCCGAGGGTCACAAAACCGGCGCGATCAGGCTTGCGTGCAACGTGCTTGACGCCACCCACGTGTATCGCCGGCTCACGCAGCAGCACCGCGGAGGAGGCAACGTCTATCAGCAAGACAGACCCGTCCTGCTGACCCACGCAGCACAGCAGAGAGGAGATGGCCGACATGCACGTCGCCTCCTCCACCTCGACGCTGCCGATGCTGTTCAGCGACCCTTTGAAGTCCACGCGGCCAACGTTCGCCTCCCTCGCGTCGTAGAAATCGTGGTGGTCGAGGTGGTCGCTGTCCAGCTGATCATCCTTCACCGCGACGGACCACATCATGACCTTCTCTTTGCTCATCGAGAGCAGCGCCGTGTCCGTGTCGACGAAGGCGAGGGCACGGATGTCGCTGTGGTGTCCCTTCCATTCAAAGGTGTGCCGCGGCTTCAGGTCCGTCAGCGTCTGCCCTGCAGCCCCCTCCCGCTCGCTCGTCGTCAGCGTCGTCGTCAACGTCTCCATCGTGTTGTTGTTGTACATGACGGCGATGTGCAACGTGTCGGCCCCACTCAGCTGCTCGCGCGCCGCCGGCGGGATGAAGTGCACGCTGCGGACTTTCTGAGACAGGAAGAAGGTGCGCAGAAGCACCACTTCTTCCGCGGCGGTGGCCTGCGCCGGAGGTCCTGCGCCGGCTTTCCGTTGCGCTGCTGCGTCGCCCTCGTCGACTTCGCCGTCGCTGACCTCCGCCTCGTCATCGCCCGCGGCGGTGTCCTTCGTGGACGTGTTGGTTTTCTTCTTGCTGCCATGCGGCGCCTCCGCCTCGCCTTCTTCCGCTTCTGCCTCGGCCGGGCCACGCCGTCGCTTGCGCTTGCGGCTCACCTTCTTCTTCACATCCTCCGCGGTCAAGACGCGAAAGACCTCCACCGTGCGGCTGGTACAGCCGACTATGTACGCCCCGTCGTGCGAGAAGGAGAGGGCGGTGATGGGCTTGTGGTACTTGCGCGGCACCACGCCGTGGTCCACGATGGCGCCCTCCTCGTACCGCTGCGCCGTGGATGCGACGGCGTTACTGCTGACTCCGCTGACTGCTGCCGCCTCGCCCAGCAGGAGCGGCTCCGTGTTGTACACTTTCAGGTAGTTCTCACGGAGGCCGCAATACAGCCGCCTCCCTTGCGAGTCCGCCACCATGGCGGTGACCTGCGTGTCGGAGGCGATGACAGTGTAGAGGCACTGACGCAGGGTGAGGTCCCACGTCTTGACGAGGCCATCCGCTGACCCACTCAGCAGCAGCGTGCGATCACGCGACACAACACCGCCGTTCGTGCCGCGACTCGTATTCAGCATCGACGACTCAGCCGCCGGGGCAGCACCAGCGGCGCTGGAAGGCACCACCGAGAGCGCCACTACCCCACCGCGGTGCCCCCGCAGGCGGAAGGACGCCTCCTGACTCACCAAATCCCACACCGTGATGTCCGTGTCCTGTCCGCCAGAGCAGAGCGTGGCACGGGCGGCGTCCACCGCAACGGCCAGCACCTGCGTGTCCACGCGATGACCCAGCGCGTAGAAGCGGCAGACGGGCAGACCGTAGTTGTTCGCCGCGCTGCACGAGAAGGCCGCCACGTAGCCGTTGGCGTACCCCACAAACAGCCACCATCCGGTTTGGAAGGAGGCCTGCGTGCCAGGGGCAACGCCACTGTCGGTGATAATGTTGCTGCCCGTCGTACTCCTCCGATCCGCATGCGGCAGGTGGTGACTGCTGGTCGAGGAGGTCTCCAGCGGGACAACGTGCAACGTCGTCACTTCCACCGGCATCTTCGCCTCCGCCGGAATTAGTGTGTGCAGCAGTTCGCCGCTGCGCACCGAGTAGACGCGGACAGCCTCCAAGGACGGGACGAAGACGACGGCGGCAGCGGCGGACACCAACGGACCGACAGGGCGACTTCGGTTGTTGTTGCTGCTGCCGTTGTTCACGCGTCCATGAAGGGGAGCCCCATTATAACTTCTGCTGGTACTGCTGTTCTGTGCAGTGCTATAGCGAGGTGGTACGACAGCGGCGCCCATCGCGAGAGCCGCGCTGCTGACCACGGCGCCACCCTGTGGACCGACCACGTAGCGAAGGTAAGTCTTCTCCACCATCACTGAAGCGCTAACTAACAACTGAAAGAGAGAAAAGAAAAAAGAAAAGACAGCACAAAGTTGCTATGTGCGTGTGCGGATACTCGAGGCGAAACTTCGGTGCTCCACCCACTTCCACTGCATCGTATCGACAAACGGAAGATGAGGTGAGAGAGGGAGAGAGGTCGGTGGGAGAGGAGGGACGGTAGGCAGCGTTTAAGGGAAAGAGAATGAGGACAGGAACGAACAGAAAATGGGGGAGGGGAGATGGCCCAGAAGCTCAAATGACTGAGAAGAGGAACACACAGCAGCAGCCACATGCACTCCTGCTTCTTTTCCGTTTTTCCAGGCAGAGCGAGACGAAGAACGCGAACTCGCATCTCCAATCTTTCACGTCGCTGAAAGCGAAGAAACGTACATAATTCGAGTACGCGGCTCTCACTCTTACATTCCTGCTACCCCGGAGTCGCCTTCGTAGCAGCGTCACTCATATACACATGCATATACCGTTCTTTGATCTGTCGATCACGTCGGGTGAAGTGTGCCGATTCTGTGAAATGCTCAACGTTGAGCTCATATCAAACAGCAACAAACAACAACAACACAAGCGAAACACCTCTTGCATTACATAACCCCGCCGAGTTTGTTCTCCACCATCCATTGCCCCTTCTCAAACATGATACCCCGCACCCTGGAGCTCGTCTGTCGCGAGGTCACCTCAAACTCGTACCGTACCTTGCGCCGGAAAAAGCTTTTATCGGTCACGACAAGGGTCCTCTCAGCTGCCTTCAGGAGACGGCGGTAGAGCTGGCACGCCTGCTCCGGTGTGGGCTCGATGGGCGGCAGGTACTGACTCGCTGCAATGCGTTGCTGCTCCAACTCCATCCGACGCCGGTTGGCACGGGTGTAGTCCGGTGCGCCGTCTTTCCACCACTTGCGGCCGTTGGCCAACATCAGCGGTGTGCGCCGCAGCTGAAGCTGCACGTGCGAGCTGGTAAGTGCCATTTTAAAATCATACTAGTGATAAAAGCTAATGGAAGCCTAGGACAGGGCACTACGTTTGGCTTTGAAATGATAAAGATGGCAAAGTGCTAGACGACTCTCACGCGCCCAATCCCTTTCTTTTAAATACAAAATATGAGTTCAGCGACTAAGAGAGAAAGAAAAGAAGGGGCGACGAGCCAAGGAGGAGGAGAGGGAGGTGAACGCAGCCGTCTGCAATCAGCAGCGTGAAATCATCGATGAACGTGGGCGTCAGTAGACGACACCGAATAGTCCATTTGCAACGGTCGTTGTTATCGAGTAATTATCTTTTCTAACGACAAAAATGCGAAGGCCTGTTGTAGTACACGAAGTAGGGGGAAAAACCCTCACAGAAGATGTGACTCGAAAGAAAAAAAAGGTCTGACAAACACAAAGGTGATCGCTTCAGAACTCTTGCACATCATCGGCCCACGTCACGTAGCGCCTGCGACGGGGCTTTGGCAGACGATCAGGAAGCGCTTCCTTTTCCTCGGATGCGCTGTGCAATGACTGCGTATAATAAGAAAAGGCGCGAGCGTCACCCGCGGAGCTGCTTTCATCGGCCCCGTTGTCACGTGCAAGGGCGATTGCCGAGGCAACGGCGGACGCCACGTCGTGCTCTGCCTCTGCCTTGTGCTCCCTCGTAAGCGTCGCTCGACTTCCGGCGCCGTCCGCTCCAGAGGAAAGAGAAGCGTGAACGCTTTTCTTGAGAAAAAGCATGGCGCTTCGTTTGCTTCCCAGCTCCCTCGCGATCTTCATTTTCGGCGGCGCGCTGTGCCGGATCGACCCGCCTCCGCGAGGGCAGGGCCGACTCGTGCGGCACCGCGCGGGGCCTGGCTTCGCAGAGTCGCACGTAGCGTCTGCCTTTTCCTTCTCCTCCTTACCTCCATCGCCGCCGTTCAACGGGACGTACCACCAACCGCGTGGCGCGACGGACGATGACGCAGCAGCCACTGCCGGCGGAGGTACCGCTGGATCGACTCGCCGGCTCGGCGTGCCGCCAAGGTCCGCCGTCGCAAAGTCGGCGCTGCGGGAGCTCTTCTCAACGACAATGGAGTTCGGCAAAGCAGGCGCTTTCTCCGTCGTGTCGGGCAGCTGATTGACATCGCGCGCACGCAGCGGGGTGTCGTCGCCCTCACTCGTGCACAGGGAGATCGATACAACAGGGACGCCCTTTGTTTGGCTGAACTTGGTCTGGACAGGGCGAGTCCCCACCGTTAATAGCGGTGGCGTTAAACGGCAAGACGAAAAGGGCGGTGGTGGTGACTGCTGTTGCTGCCTGCGCCCTCGATGCGCTGATAAAGGAGAGGCGCTGTTGTTGCTATCCTTCCGTGTTCGTGACATGGCAGGCGCAGCGCGACGCGACGGCTGCGACAGCACTGGCTGGAGGAGAGGCCTTCGCTTCTCGCGGTTCTCCTTCGAGTCATCGTCGGCGTTTTCCTCCTCTTGAAGAAGGAAAGCGCGGTGAGCCTTCGCGGCCTCGACAACCGTCGATACTTGGCGCTGCGCAGTCGAAGTCGGACGGGAGGATGGAGTGAACGGAGTCTTGGCAACTGATGAGACAAGGGCGGTCGGTGTGTTGGACAGCACGTGTCGCGTCGTCTTCGCCGGTGCACTGCCGGATGGACTGCAAGACTGCCTCGTTGGTTGCTCGTCGCGAAAGGCATCCCGGTAGAGGTCACGCAACACGCACTCCGGCAACATGACGGTGCTCCAGCGCACCTGCCACTCCTGCTGCTCCAGCGCCCAGCTCTCATCCAGGAAACGTCGCTGCCGCGCTTCTTCGTTCGAGACCACGATGCGTGCACCACAGCGCAGGTGTTCCGTGTGCATGTGACTTCGCAAGCGACCTTCCGAGTGCTGTAGGGCGTCTCTCGCCCGCTCCTCGCTGCTGGACAGCATCTTCACGAACTGCACGAGTTGTGACGCTTCGAGGGCGGCGGTCTGCGCTGCTGGCGGTGCAGACAACAACGCTGCGACAGGGACGCATTCATCCTTGTGAAGCTGCTGCACCTCACAAAAGAAGATGTTCGCCGAATTGCTTCTCTGTTGTGCCACCTGTAGCGTTTGCAGGCGCTGGGCGCGTCCCTGTTCTTGTTGCACGAGTTCCTGCCAATCTCGTCCTTCGCCTTCCTCGTGCGCACGTCGTCCGACGCACTCCAGCAAGCTCGTCAGCCACAAGACTTCGGACAGCGCCATCCGCCGCAGCAACGCGCGCTCATGTGCTTCGAGGTCAAATAAATGGCGCTGCCCGAGGGAGAGAGACGGAGAAGCTGGAGGAGGCAACTCGGGGGACGCGGAACAGGATGTTGAGGCGGACAACAATTCTGCCGATGCAGACGCGAGGGACAGCGGAGGTGCCGCTACGCTTTCGTCCACAACGGAATCGTTAGCGGAGACGAGAAAAGACGTCTCAGCAGCCAAGTCTCGCACCGGTGTGGCACTCTCTGAGAGGCTGCCTGTGCATACGGAGCTCACGGATGCACGTGCGTCGGGCACAGCTGCCGGAGTGGATGCTGCTTCTGAGGAGTCGATGGAAGAAACGGAGGCGTCCTCCACCGCACTCCAGTGCAACAGAACGCAGCTTTCTTCGTCTTCTTGTTCTTCCGCTCCTATTACGTTGGCGAGGTTTGGTGCCGTCTCACGCTGACATACGTTGTCCGTCAGGCGAGCTGCTCCATCAAGCTTGCGGCTATCCATTCGCTCATCATGGAACTGTTGCTGCTGTCGTCGTCGTTGGTGCCCCCTCTGCCAGCGCCGATGCAGAGCTGCGGCCGCCACCTGCCGATGTCGCTCGCGGGTTTGCTGCTGTGCGAGACGCGCACGCAGAAAGGCATGTAGAGTCGTTGTGGCCGCTGCTCGCACGACTTCGTTTTCTCCCCTTCCTTTGGCTTTTGAGGTCGACGTTTCCGTGAACTGCTGTGAAGTGGGCACCTGCGTGTCGCTGGCGATCCCCGCAGAGGTGCTCCGAAGCACGTGGTGGAGTTGGTGGACGGTCTGCCAGTCTCGCGCAAAGAGCATGTTGCGTCGACTGGAGTAAAACAACGTGCCACGGGTTGACACGGATGGTGAAGTACCGTCGTCCTCCCTCGTGCCACCGACATCGACATCCCCTTCCCCATCTTCCAGATCCACGTCCGTCAGCTTCAGCATCATCCACAGCCCCAGCAGCAGACAGCGTCCTAGCAAACCCAATACAGGAGTAACAGCCGCCGCTGTTCCTGTGCTGTCGACCACAACGGAGGAAGAGCTATTGGTAGCGCCAACGTACGCATCTTTAACAGTACGCTCCTCTGCACGCACGGCGTTAATTCTCGCGTAACACACGATGGCGGGGTCCACAGTGCTGCATCCTTGGAAGCGTCGCGCACCTTCGCTATGCTCATTGTCGCCAATGGTGGTGCTCGCACTCGTAGAGGGAAGAACGCCGTAGCGCCGCGCCAGTGCCCAGCATCGATAGGACTGACGGAACACGTCTTCGAAGTCGATCGCGTACCAGCTGAGCAATGCTGCCACTGGACTGCGTACGACACACATGCCCAAACGACTCGACTGCGGCCGGGCAGCTTGCGGAGGCGAGACGAGACGGCTGTGGAGTGACGCTCCAAGGTGCAGCCGGCACACCACCACGCCATGATGATGACGATGATGGGCCGTGTGGGTGAAGAGTTCATGTGAAAGGACAGCGACGACGCGTGGACACTTCATCTTTTGAGAGGTAGAGTTGATCTCTGGCGAGACACCTTCGCCTGCGACGCACTCCCACAGTCGGTCGAGCAGGCCACGTAAGTGTGTGGCACTCGTGTGAGACGACGGCACGGCTGCACGTCCGTATTCCCCGTTTGACAGAGTCGGTAACGTGTAAAGGCAGGGGGTGAATCCGCTGTTGCCCTGCGCGGGTGCGACAGCACTTCGGAACAGAAGATGTGTCTCTTTCAACTCAATCGCCAAAGGCGATGGCGGTGCGGCCGTCAACAACGTCGACGGCATCCACTGAACAACAAGAGACAGCATCTTCGTCGTGATCCACTGGCAGACACCTCGCAGTCGCGCTTGCATAGGTGCAGCGTACTGGCTTTGAGACATGCCATCGCCGCTGCTGCTGCTACCATCCTCATCTGACGCAAACGGGGTGAGCAGAATGGCTTGCACCTGTGTTTGAATCTGCATTACATCTTCACTTGTACTCACCGCGAGGCCCACAAAGGTGAACCAAACGCACAGGTATCGATTAAGAACATGAGGGTCGTGAAGGCGGAGCGGCGTGAGCGGCGAGGCCCAGTACGCTTCCTGCAGCAGCGCCTCCGTGAGCACTGCGAGCAGCGCACAAAGCAGCTGCTCGGCCGCTTGCTGCTCGTCTGTTGCCGCAAGGCGCTTCGTAACGTCGTTGAAAAACAGACGCCTCGCTCGTTGGGCGTACGCGTGCAGACGTCGATACACGGAAGATGCGTCACTGCACACGGAGTACTCGTCGATTGCCCCTTGACGCAAGCCCTCGCTGCCATCACCGGCGCCTTCGCTCGCGTCTACACAGGCTGTCCAGTAGTGCCACAGATACTCGAAGCGCGTGGCGTGAAGCGCCGTGCTCGACGACGGTGGTGTGCCCCGCGACGCTGGAAACGTTGCTGGCGAGCTACCGCCTTGCGCATTAGTATCCGCCTCCATGCGAGGACCTTCCACCCAAGACCAATGCAGATTGACAGGAGATGCGGCCCCTGCAGACGGAGGGTCGGTGCTGCTAGGGCGGACGTGTGCACCGGGCGATGATGTCATGGTCAGCCCGAGACTCCGCGAAGACAGCATGGACAGTGGAAGCAACTTCGAAACGACGCAGTGGAGGTGCTCGCCCACACGGACAAGATCCAGCTCTGCCCTGCTCTCCACCTTGGCGTCGTCGTCGCCGTGGACGCCTGCGCAGACTGCGTCGCCTGTGTGCGCCGTGACGGCCAGTCTCAGCGCTTCCATCAACAGCTGATGCCGCTTCAACACCACTTCGTTCTCATCTTCACTGCGACCACGTGCTCTTCCTTCACCGCCCTTATCGTGACACACAACATCAAACACATGGCATCGCAGACGTGGGCAGCGGTGCACAAAGACCGGGTGATGCGCGAGGGGTAAATACGTAGGAGATGGAAAGAAAGCGGTGTTCGTCGGATAAGAGTAAAAGGCGTGCATCTCAGCCGGCGAGACGTCATCCGAGAAGGCGAGCGCATCGGCTGCTGCCGCTGCGCTGCCGTGACACTGGCGCTGCTCCTTGGCCAACAAAGCCAGCTCGACGACGCTTCTGTCATGGTGAAGACCTTGTGGAGTTGAAAAAGCTGGTTGCTGCGATTGTTGCTGACGAATTGGTAAGAAGCGGTAGACAAGCGTGTAGTTGAGGGAGATGAGCCGTGGCACTGGTCGTAGCGGTGGCGGAGGAGACAAGGGAGACGATGCGCTGTGGTGAGGGGCTTCACGTTGGCCGTGGATGTTCTTGCGGACGCTGACAGCACCATCTGCCTTGTCTGCCATCCCATCACGACGGAGACCAGAATCCCCCCGAAATACGCCTTCAATGTATCAGAAAGAACTCAGTTAGTCGTATTATTATGAATGAGGAGAAAATATGTGTCTATCGGCTGTGTACGGTGCTGCAGTCGTCGCGGGCATCTCTATGTAGGTGGTGTGCGTAGCCCGGACGAATAGCTGTAGGAGTCTATAGTGTTGCGATGGAAAAGCCTCCAAAACAACAACAACCAAAATAGGGTGGAGGGTTATATGTGTAAAGTGGTGCTCAGCGTACGCGTCTTGCGACCTGCACGAGTCCAATAATAATAATAATGAAGAATTACGAGAAGAGATTTGGAGGAAGGGAGAGGTAGGGGGGGGGGGGAGGCACGTCAACTCCGTAGTGTCGAAGCGTAATGGGCAGCAGAACAACAACAAGTAAGAGTGACTGCCGAGATCGTAATCCCCCGTTGGCGCATCGTAGCAAACGGCGGCGCCGTCCGCTTCGACGAAGAAAACATTCCCAAAAACAACAAACTGCAAAAAGGCATTTTCGTGGGGATTCACGCCTTTGCGAAGACGCAGATTTGATCCATGTCTGTTACTCGAAGTCACGTGTGCAGGCGCACGCGTGTAAGCCGTCTCTTCTTCTCCTTCGATGCTTAACTTCCCATTATCAGCTGGGCCGCGTCCACCGCGTGCGGTTGTTCGCGTTCCGCCCCTCAAACACCCCCTTCCACTTCTTTCCGGTCTCCCTCTCCGCCGGTCGCAGCCCGCAGCGCTCCTTTGCAGCACGATCGTACAGCAGCACGTTCACCGTCGCCGCGAGGTTCATACTGCCGGCGGTCGGCATGAAGACAACGTCGTCCACGTCGCGCGCGAGATGGTGGGCGGCGAGGGTGCCGTCCTCCGCGCCAAACACGTAGAACACCATCGGCACACAGCCCTCCGCCGCCGCCGCCGCCGAGTCGGTTAATGTAGCGGACTCTTGACGCGCAGCGGCTGTATCTCGAATAGACTTTGCCGAGGAAGAAGACGATGACACATCACCACTCTCTGTATAATTGAACGGATGCTCAAAAGCAGGAAGAAGAGTGGCACCCTCCACCAGCTCCACCGCCACTACTCGCACAGGGGAGGACGACGGCGGCGCTGTCGCAGACGCATCATGTCCAAACTCGCTCCGTAGCACGTCAAAGAGGCCATCGAGGGTGGGAAGGCAGAGCTGCGGAATGTCGCGACTGGCGTGTGTCGGGTCCGTGCGCAGCGTGCCGGCGAAGTCGGTGTGCCCCAACGCCTTCTGCAGGCGCGTGCCGGAGAAGATGAACGCACCGACACGCTGCAGCACTCCGTCGTCTGCGTCATCCGACCGCGGAGGCGGGGAGTCGACACCGAAAGTGGCGGTGTGCACGTCAAGTCCTGCCTTCGTTGTCGACGAGGGGGTGGCCCTTTTTCCTTCCTTCTCGTCTTGCGGCGTGCGACCCGCAGCCGTCGCAGCGGCATGAGAAGTCACCGCAGGTCCGTGAACACCATAGCATTTCATGGCCCGCAGAACGCCGCCCGCATTCGCCGGTGTCTTGGGGTTCTCCACGACAATGAAGAGCAGTGGCACAGGGGCACGAGCGGTACCGCGGCCGCTGTCGTTGGTATTCTTACTATCGAGGAGAGCAGCGCGCTGACACTGCCGGAGAAGGGCGATGACGGCTGCACGCGCAGATGCGGCCTCGTTCACCTCGACATCCTGCTCGCCTCCTTCCCGAAGAGACAAAGACACTTCACTGTTGTCCTTGTGACAAGAACGTGTTTCTCTAGCACTCGCAGTATTGCCGGCGTCTGCGCAGGCGCTGGACACAGCACGCTTGTGGTAGCGAAGGGTACCAGCCGAGCACACCGCCACCCCCGTCGCCAGGTGCGTCGTGCCGCCGGATGAGATGCCCTCCAGGTGCTCACACATCATCACGCCGCTACGAGGCTTGCCGGTGACGGCGTCGAGAGGTGGGTGCAGCAGCGCGTGACAGCGGCGGCAGCGCCAGCACGTCTGCGGATCCACCTCTAATCGTTTCCTCCGTTTAGCGTTGTTTGCTTTTGCCACTGCTGAAGAGGAGGACGGTGCGGGGGACGAGGATGCTGCCTCTGTTGTCTCGCTGGACAGTTCAGTGGAGGGAGCTGAGGATGAGGGTGGAGGGACCATGTCAAAGAACGACATCGCCCACGCGGATCTGGTACCCCAGTTCTTCTTGCTGCTGCTGCTGCTCATCCTTTCGCGATGCAGCACCGTCCCTTGCAATGGAGAAATATTTATTGTGCTGCCCTCACAACGGGAAGAGTTCCGCTTCAGCGAAGAAACGAAGTCGAGGTCCGACAACAGCGGCAGGACTGCCAAATAAGTCTCTCTCGCCTCCCAAGAAGAAGCTACGTAAGCTTCCCGCAGAGGTGGGTCTTTCGAGAACGCTAAAAAAAGAAATGCCCAAGGAAAAGAAGACCCAACAGGATTTCCGCTGAAAAGAGAAGTCGCAGCGAAGGCGGTGTCATACCGCAAAGATGGGGAGAAACAACGTCCTTTCCTTTTCTTTTCTTTTCTTGGGTATCACACACAAGCGGTGTGCAACAAACTGAGTTTATTATAGCATTGCATTTCGTTTTGAGCTTTGATGAAGAGAGAGAAAAGAATCGCGTGATGGTGGCGTGCATCGGCTTCGAAGCGCATTGATTACGTCTCAGATATCTTTTTTTTCTTCTGGAAGTTTGCGTGTCAGGTTTATTTACAAATCACTCGGCTCATGTGAAGAAACAACGGAGATCGCTAGAAGGAAGCTCCTTGTCGGGGTCTTTTGGTGTGCTGCTCCAGCATCTCCTTCTCTTATCCGCAAACCATGCCACCACAGCCACACACACACGCACGATCCCTTCCCCCCCGCCTTCAGTTGCCCTACAGCTTTCGTCCTTGCACGTAGGGCTTCGGAATCGGCATGTTGTGCATCGAGCCGCGTCCCAGGTGTTTCTGCGTACCCGCACGAACCTGTGTGGGTCGCTTGGCGTGCTGCCTACTACGCCCCCCGCCCGCAGTGCCTCGGTGTCGACGTAGACGCCGGGCAGGGGAGGAGGCAGCGGCAGCGGAAGGAGACGTGCGCCGCCGCCGAAGGCTTGAACTCGCACCACTCCCGGCAGCTGCGGCGCTTTCTTCATCTTCCAGGTCGTCGTTTTCAATTGCTGCATCCATGTTGTCTTCCTCGTCATCATCGCCGTTGTCCTCCTCCCCATCCACAAACGCATCCAGCAGCACCTTCTCGTTCTTCGTCACGAGCCGGCGCTGGTGCGACTTGGCGATGTCCAGCAGCAAGTCTGGCGCAAAAAGGTAGCGGTCCAGCTCCAAGGTGCGCAGGGCGTCGGCCTTCTCCTGCTCCACCGTCTCCTCGATCGGGGTGTAGCGCACCTGGGCAAAGCTGTCGGACGCAGCTGACGGACCGCCCTCGCCGTGTGATGACGACGACGACGACGATGATGGTTGCTGCTGTTGAAGCTTAGCGGGCAGCTCTGCAGGGGTCAGCTTTGTGAAGTAAACTCGACTGCGAAAGTCGTCCGCGTCGAAGGTCAGCTCGCTTGTGAGGTACGTCGCGAGTCGGGCGGAGGAGAGGAGCAGCTTCGGACTGCCGTACACAAGACCCGTTCGCCGCCCAAACGGGATGTGCAGGCGGTGCACAAAGGGCGAGGTTACACGGCTCATCGTACTGGGGCTGTCTTCGTCGCCTTCGGTGGTGTCGTTGCGGTTGTCATCGTCCTTTTCGTCTGCCGCCGTGCTCGCGGGGGATGCTTCGTGAAGGGGAGAGGCGGCCGTGGACGGTGCGGCGATGCCCGCGTGCTGGGCGACCTGATGAATGAAGTGAACAATGTCCTCGTGCAGCCAATTTCGAGGCACGTTGTGCAGTGCGACCCAGACGTAATCTGGAGTTGGTGAAGGGACGTCCTCTGCACCACCGCTTCCTTCTTCATTATTCGGCTTTACAGGCTCACGCCGCTCACCAGCAGGCGCCTCGCTTCCTTCGGCGGAAGAAGACACCTCCGGCTTAGTGTGTTCAGCAGCGGCGACAATTGAGGGGTCGTCCAGCAAGCTCCAGATAAGGTCAGAGGCATCTGCGGTATCCGTCATGCTCTCGTGCCTTTCGTTGCCCTCACGCGTGGTGCTGCACAGACGCCGCGGGCAGGGGCACCAGGCGGTAGCACCGTGGAGTTGAACTGCGTGCAGAGCAGAGAGCGACACGCATCGACGCACGGCGGTGACTGAGGTGTCGTGGACGCTGCGGAGAAGAGCGACACAGTCACGGGCGACGTGTGGCTGTAGTCGGTACAGCGCCACGCGCATTTTCTTCTCTCTCTCTCTCTAAATATAGAGGTGCGCGTGTGCTGTGAAAAGAAGCTTTCGTAGATAACGATGAAAAGAACAAGCAGCGATGCAAGGAAGCACAAGCGAAGCTGGTACCATAGACGGAAGGAGAAGCCGAGGGTTACATCGTCAGAGCGATTCAAGACAAGAAGCTCGACGAGCGACATTGTCGTGCACCGAGAAAGAATTGTACAAGAGGGAATCGAGCCACACACAAAAGCGTGACTCTGCTCGGGGTGGTGGTGGTGGGGTGAAGAGACATGCACGCTACGGGCTGCACCACCGCAGTTACGCAATCTCTTTTCCGTATATATATATATATATATATATATATGGTAGGGGCGTGTCTTGTATGATAGACGATCATCCCTTACGTGGGAACGCCCTCTGCCGCGCAGGCGATCCAGATAGGCCGCAGCGCCAATAAATAAGAACATCCACAACAACAAACACACACGAGAAAGAAAGTAAAAAAAGGATGATACAATAGGGGAAAATAATAATAAAAAAACGTAGTCGAGGCGAAGTCGTTTCGATGGCAGCTCCGGAGGAAATAATAAAAGACGGTGATATACAGCGTGTAGCAGTGATCTCCTGTAGGAGCGGGTGAAAGAGGATAAGGGAGACACCAGTACAGAACAGCCGCAACGAGAGACTCTACAAAAAGAAAAAAATAACCAGAGGATAATAATCAACAACAAACAGAGAAAGGGAAGCGCTTCATCGAGCCCAGAGGCCACGCAGCGTTACAGCTTTTCTCTCTCTCCCTCTTTCTCTCTGTGTTGTCAAAACACGTCCTTCTTTTCGTGTTCCCTTCCTTTTCTCCGTTTCGCTTGTCCCGCTCACCGCTGATTTCTCAAACGACGCCACGCCGAATAGACTCCGTCGCGCGATGCAGCTGCTGCGCCATCCCTTGGTCGAACAAGAGGGTCTCGCGGATTTGCGGAGCGAGCGACAGGAATGTGTTCTCAGCCGTCAAGCGCTCCTCGCCCTCTTCCTCTTCCCCGGCATACTCGTACTGCACCGCTGCCGCCGCGGCAGAAGCAGAAGGGGTGGTCCATCCATCCTCGTCCTCCTCCTCTACGCGAGGTCCACGCCCTAGCATGTGCGAGAAAAGTGAGCGAGTCAGCGTGGCACTGTTGCTGCTGCAGTTGTTGCCTCCTCTCTTCGCCACACCGGCCGGCGGAGTAAGGCCCACACGCGACGGGGAGGACGCCTGCAGCGGCGTTCCGCGAGAGCCGCCGTCGCCCGTCTCGGTGAACGACATTCCCACCCCGGCAGCCGCACGCAGCCGGGCCAGCGGCGACGGCACCCCGGGCACGGCGGCAGTCGACGACGCCACCCGTCTCGGCCGGCTATCGCCCAGTTCAAACGGCACCGGCACGGTGACGCCGCGCGTGAAGGAAGTCGAGTCGTAGTAGTGCAGCCGCTTCGCCTCCGCCGCCGCCGTGACGGCATCGCGCTCCTCCCGTGCGCCGCGCAGACGTTCGATAAATGCCGCTGCCCCGTAAACGGGCTGCGTGGGCGGCAGCAGGGACGGGACGTACTCCGCCCCGTCGGTCTCGTAGGACGCGGTCGACGTGCTCCGTCGGTGGCTGTCACGGCGGCACAGAGGAGCGTAGTGGGACGGTGATTCGGCGCGTCCGCCAGAGGACGCACGCTGCTGCTGCTGCTGCTTTCTACTTACATCCTCCACGTCCTTCCCATGGTCGCCCCCGCTGTGACTGCGGCTGCGATCGTCACCGGTGCCGCCACCGCCGAGGCGGTTGATGGACGGCTCAAAGGTGCACTCCTCGTGTTCACGCTCGAGTGCTTCATACACGGACTGCACCCGCTTCGCCTCCCGCCGCTCCTGCCACCGCGCGAGGCGGCGCACGACGGCATTCATGGGAGATGACGATGCGCTGTTGAGTAGACCTCCGCCAGACGCACGGGAGAGGCTGCGATCTGCCCTGGTGGAGCCGCCTGTTCGATGACGCGCCGCCTCGCTGCTCCCGCTGGCGGACGGTTGATGCGGCGATTGCTGCTGCTGCTGCTGCTGCTGTATGTGACGCTGCTGATGTGTCTCGGTATAGGACTGGGGAAGCTGGAAGCGCGGAGAGGAGCCGGCGAGATAGACAAGGAGGCACTCGTGGGGGATTGAGAGCTGCGTAGGTGCCGTGTGGTGCCGTTCGAGGTGTGTGCCGCAGGACCCGGCCCGGCAAGAATGCGTTCCACTAACACGTTCAGATCTTCTTCTTCCGTGGTCGCCTCGAGCGTTGCAGTCGGCGGTGGTTGCACGGATAAAGGCGCAGGGGAGGACGTCTGTGATGGACGCCGCACGCTCGCATGCTCGACAGCGTTCACGTCTTCTACCACCGCTTTACCGGAGGCAGACGGTGCACGCTCGTTGTCATCGATCGAACGCACAGGGGCGGTGGATGAAGAAGAAGGACGCGCACCGCCCAAAAGAATGCGGTCCACCGCCGCATCGAGTGCCGCGTCGTCACTGGACATCTCGTGCAAACAGCAACAACAACACAGCGGGCGAGCTTTTGAAGTCGCGGAAATTAAAAGAAAGAAAGAAGAAAAGGTCGTGTGATGTACGCCGGCCCAGGATCGTTTCACAGACGCTGCCACTCCTTTTCGTTCTCGCGTTGCGTCTGGAAGGGAGATGGCAACACACACACACAAGGGGAGCACGACGACACAAAAGTGCTTGCGTACACTCTCAGCTGATGTAAGACTGAAAGGGAGAGAGAAGAGGGGAGGGGGGAAGGGAGAACGAACAGATAGGATGGGAGAAAAGTACGCCAGTCGGAAACAATAATAATAATAATACGAATTGAGAAGCGGCTGCCAACGTCAAAGCGTAAAGCAGAGGGAGAGGAGAAAGCGGAAGGGGGGGGGGGGGCGCACACGTTCTTTCTTACGTTGATCACCTCATCATCATCGGTGGCTTCGTCACGTCTTTGACTCGATGGCGGTGATAGATGAATTTCATGCAGTACAATTCGCAGGAGAGAGAAAGAGAAACGACAATGAAACACACATTGATAGAAAGAAACAAGCAGCTATACATGAAAAAAACAACATCACCAGCACCAGCACAATACATTACACAGGAGTGAGGGAGCTGTCCGCGGCGACACTCAGACACTCTCAGGAAACCAACAGCAACAAAAACAATGATGTACGCATACGTGTTGGTCAAGAGCAGCAGCAGGAGAGGAAGAGAGGAAATCAAAAGGATTTGAGCTAACGTTCAGGCCGCAGCTGGTGTATCCGTCCCTCCCTTTCCATGAAACAGGATACACACCACATACAGAGAGACATTACTTCACTTACAAGATTCGAGTGGCGATCATCACCGTCGGTGCGAGACGCATTGGCACAACCGACTCTCGTGCCGCCGCCACCGGGTCGCTCTCCCCCCCATCCTCATCATAAATTTCTTCTCCTCTCTGTGCGGCTTCGTCTACTGTCTCTTGCACCGCCTCCCGTTCCTCTCGTGTGAGCATCGTCCGCGGCACTTTGTGCCGACCTGCGGACAACGGAGGCGGTGGCGACGGTGAGGATGCCGACGAATGCGATGGCGCAGAGGAGTCCCCTTCCACCGGCGACGCCGCCGCCGCTGCCAGTCCCATCGGCGCCAGCGTCGGGTGCGAGACGTACATCGTCGTCTCCATCTCCTCCGTGCCGTCGCCGAGGTTCACGCAGCTCGGCAACGGGGGCAGCAGCTCTTCGGGGATGTCCGTCACGGTACCGCAGCAGGGGCAGAGGAAGGCGAGGGTGTTGATCGGGGCGTGGAGTTCCTGTCCGCAGGCGCCGCAGGTAAGTTGGAGGTTCTGCGCCGCGTTGATGGTGTTGCAGAGCCGGCAGCGGCAGGAGATGGCCCCGAGAGGGTACGTGAGCACGTGCTGACAGCCATAACAGACAAGCTGGCCGAAGAGCATGTTGCCCTTTACTGAATTTCTCTTTTGCCGTTGAGGACGACGATGTTTGCGTTCCAGAATCTGCCGCGAAATGAGCCGAACGACACAGTTTAAGAAAACAGCAACAAAGGAATAAAGAGTGGTCTTACGCAGCGACACAGAAAACAATTAAAGTAGTGGTAGGAATAATACTACTACTACTAATAAAAATATATCACGATGTAGCGGCACACGCAGCAGCGGCGTTACACCTGCCACCGTATAAGAGAAAGAGAAAGAAGGAAAATAAAGGGCGAAGAGAGCACATGGGCAACGAGACGATAATCCTTGTAGTTTGCATGAGGGGAATCCACCTGTTCCCCGTAGGGATCATAGACCGAAGTGTTTTGAATGACACAATCATTGTTCCACGGCTCCTTCGTTGGCGATGCACCGCAGATCAAGACAGAGACCACGTTACCGCGACGCAGGGCCGAAAGCCCCGAATGCGCCGAATACAAAGCGCGAACACACGCACACAAACACGTGCACGAGCACCTACAAATACACGAATTGTCTGACGTTGCAAGCCGCGATGGAACGCAACATCCACACGGCAGAGTTTTCTTTTTGTTTCTCTCTTTTTAAAACTCAACACTTTAGAATACAATAAAAAAAAGTGTGTGTGGTGGGGGGGGGGGGAGGGCCTCTCTCGCACGTATCTTTCGTCCCTCGATTACACTGAGCGTTGCAGCTTTTTATCCTTTCCACGGAATTTTGCTTTGGGTTCTCCTTCTCTGCGTTCTGCGGTTGTTCCTCGCCTCTGGCGTCTCATCGGAGAAAGGCGAGAACAAATATCATAGGAGACGTCAGCCACGAAACGCACACCCTCACACGGAGCGAAACTAAACGAGAAGAAATAATAAAAGAAAAGAGAAGTAAGTGGTAAAATTGAAAGAGAAAGAATGAAGGGGCCTTCTTCGACGTGGTGTCGTAATCGTGCCGTCGCGCAGTTCAACGTGGAAACCGTCCCTTCACCTCACTTCTCTGTTTTTCCATCGAGTGCGAAAAAGAAGAAGAAAAAAAGAAATAACAGCGACGCGGCCCAGTGTCGTACACCAATAATCGAACGCACGCGACCCGTCTTACATACTTCGCGCCACACGCAGCGTCACACACGCACACACATACATACATATAGTAACAGAAAGAAGTAAAGTACCACTGAGCTAGAAAATTAAAGAAAGAAACGAAAGAAGTCCACCTGTTCACATTAGAGGGAAGAGGAAAGAAATATATATACATGACGATGAATCGATGTGACCACATAAGAGGCAATAACAAGACCAAACCAACCGAAAAATCTCGGGGATAATACTAAGCTACAGAAACAAAACAAAATAAAACAACACACACGGAGAGAAAGGAAGATGAAATGTCGTTAAACAAGCCGGCTCACGAAAAAGACGATTACGGCGGGACAGCAGTGCTGAGCGGGCAAAAATTAGTTGTGTGAGAAAGGCAAGGAGACTGTCTGTGGGTGTTTGCACGCGCGTGCGTGTGAGTGGAAAAGAGCAAGACGAAGCGCCATCATTATCGCCACGCATAACATGCCACTCAAAGGAAGAGTAAGAAGGTGCGGAGCGAACAACGAAAGGCTACAGAAAAGAAAATCAAACACACACACTGTGCTGCTACACAGTTCTCTCTCAGTAAAACAAGTTACCGTGGAAAACGGTAAGAAAAGAAAAGACCTGTCTTGCCTTTGTTTTTACTGCTTCTTCTTGCCCGTGTCACGCTCCGCAACTGCCGCGAGCATCTCCCGCACACGCAGCACCACCTCCGTCACGTACAGCACCAACGCCATGCGTACGTTCGCCTGCACCGTCATGCAGCCACGCTCGTTCGTGTAGTTCATATAGCTCGCATAGAGGGAGAGCAAACTGCAGCCGACGCACTCCGCGATATCCAGCGCCGCCACCGTGCCAGCCAGCTTTGCCGCGGCCGCCGTCTGCAAACGCGCCTGCGCGCTGTCCTGCTGCATGTACAACAAGTTGCGCACGGCAGAGATGATCAGCGACCACGTCGCCAGCATCGCGAAGCAGCTCGTGCCGATGCTGTAGGTGTGCCAGAAGTAGAGCGCGACGAGCACCTGGAACCACCAGTGGGACGGCGTCACGCGGCGCGGCTGCCGCTTCTCCTGCTCGGGCGACGATGTGATGTAGTCCCGCAGCACCAGGAAGAAGGTGTCGAGCTGCTCCGCCACTTTCACCATCACCGCGCCGCCGAGGGCAAAGCCGACGTAGCCCTTCAGGGTGCGGTAGTCATCCCAGATGCACATGGTGTCGAAGAAGGAGTTCCGCAGGATGGACTGCGCCATGGCGGGCACGAGCAGGCAGGAGAGGGCAGCGCACACGAAGCACATCACGGCGTGGTAGAAGAAGGCGGCGGTGTGGCACGACTTCAGCGCGGCCGCCGCCGCCTTCGCCTGTCCGTTCTGCAGCGGCGCCGACGCCCCACCATCCGCCTGCGGCGCCTTGCTGCTGTTTTTGTTCTTGTTCCACCAGCGCAGAATGCGATCGCCCTTGCCGACCATGACGAGGTAGCAGGAGGCGATGTAGCCGATGAAGTCGATGTTGTCCAGCAGGTAGGCCTGCAGCGGATAGCCGTCGAAGTGGACAATGTAGTCGATGAGGCTGGACATGACGACGACGAAAAAGGCGAGGATGTTAAATAATAGTAAGTTAAATACGCACAAACAAAATAACGCGTTGCGTACGAATGCGAGATCGCGCACGGTGCCTGTGAGAAGAAAAACAGAAGAAGTAGAGGAGAAGCTTGCGTGCTGGAAGAGAGGGACGAACTGCCAGGTTTTTTTGGAAGAAAGAAAAGAACAGAAAGGGAGGAGCGGAATGGAGGAAAACACACAAAATGCCATTGCCCACAAAACAGAACGCGCAGCTCCTGTACACAGTAAGCTCCCGCGACGACGAATTTCGAGTAGCAGTGACAAGGCAGCACTCGTTCTTTTTCGTTTGGATACCACATGGAAAGCCCAAAGCGTTGCGTCGACAACTCAAGAACACTGCTTGAAAAGGTAAGCTCCGTGCGTCGGGAACCATTTCCAATCGCCTTTGCACAGAACGAAAGGACTCAGGTGATGCTGCAGTCCTTCCCCCCCCCTGTTTGTTCTCTTACATACCATGAGTGGATGAGTGACTTATATGGAAGCATAAGCTAGACTGTACCTAGGCAAGTTACCAGCAAATAACACTTAACTCCTCTCTCTCTCCTCCTTCTTCTTGTATCTGAGTCCTTTGAGTCGAGCGATGACGCCGGCATTGCGTACAAAGGCAGTTGCCAAAGCCGACTCGGATGTATAGAGAAGGTACTCGGCGATGCCTACATCGTTGCGAGTGGCTGTGCGAGGTGAGAAAAAACAAGAGAAGACAGACAAACAAACAGACAAACGACGACAACAATAATAAAAAAATACACATATCTAAGCTTTACGGGGCCACGTAGAATCAACGCACAGCTTTCTTTACTTCATTTCATACCCTCCAGACTCTCATATCAACAACAACACCACAGCAGAAAAAAAAAACAGTGTATATGTGCTTCCTTTTTTTCCCCCGTTAGATCTTTAATTACATTACGATACGCGTCCTCCACTCAGCACACCTCGGCTCTCACGTGGAGGACAAGGGACGAGTGAAGGACGTGGGAGTTGCGGGACGGAGGGGTGGGCGCGAGAGGCGAGAGAGAGAGAGGACGCAACACGCATGTGCCCACCTTATTTCTTTTTACACGCGAAGGGGACGCAGAGAAGGACCGCAGCGAACCACCACGGAGACCATTAAGACAGGGAGAAAAACAGCTTCGTTGTGCCGCGACGCGTATGTGAGCTGTTTCCCCTATGTGCCATGAGCGCCTTCTTCTGTGTTATCGCCACTGACTCTACGCGGAAGAAAAGGGGAGGGGGTGAGGGTCAGCCCGCCTCATTTTGACGTCTCAGCGAAGTTGATAAACGGCAAGACGCGAAGACGCAAATCAAACAAAAACGTATGCCCTCATGTCAGTAAGATCCATTTCGCGGATCGATGACCCGCCTGACCCGCCCTAACCCCCTCCCTCTTTTCACGTGTGGGTCAACAAGTTACGCCGTCTTCTTCGACGTCGAGGCGCGGGGGGCAGGGGCCTTGCGAGGCAGGATGTAGCCCTTCACGAACATCTCCGAGAAGAGGTAGAAGTTGAAGATGTAAATGACCAGCTGCGTGCGGCCGGCCGACATGGACGTGCCGGAGCAGGCCGACTCACCGTAGGAGACCTTTTGGTACACCACGTAGCTCGAGACGAAGAGACCACCGACCATCTGCGTGATCTGCAGCAGCGTGATGTACATGGCAAACGGTTTCACGAGGTTCTTGTAGCCCGCCTCCGAGAGAGCGAAGTACGCGTACATGATGGAGTGCACAAAGTAGTTCATGGCGGCGGCGAGGATAAAGATGCTAGTTCCTTGCTGGTAACTGTACCACGCAAACAGGAAGGTCGTGACGTGGTGGAACCACGAGAGGAAGGACAGACGCACGCCGCGCATGAGCAAGAAGACGGTGTCCATAAACTCCGGCACCTTCGAGATGGCGAACATGCCGAGGGCGAAGCCGACCTTCGTCGTGTAGAACTCCTCCTCCCGAAAGGTGCAGAGGGAGTCGTGCAGGCCGCGCTTGGAGAGGCTGCGGACCACCGGCGGCCCGACGCGCAGCACGCCGTACATGGAGAAGACAGATAGAGAAACGTTCCAGAGAGCCCAGCACTTTTTGATGATGCCCAGCGGCGGGTTACCGTGGAAGAGGGCCTCCATGATCTTGGGACCGGTGAAGACAAAGGCCAGGTAGGCCCCGGCAATGTACACGCACACGTCAACGTTGTCCTCCAGCCAGCGACGGACAGCGCGGCCGTCGTACTGGTGATCCCCGTAGTTGTCAAGCCACTGCATTTCGCCGATCAAGAGAGAAGGGAGGATGAGGAAAAACAACAAAAAAGGGACGAGTTCTATCGCGTTGTATGAATAAACGGGGAGAGACACACAAATCCGCACTGTTTGAGAGAGAGGGGAGTGTGTATGAGTGTGCGTGGGTGTGGAAAGCTGCCTTGGTAGATGTGCGAGGGTTCCTCGTGGACGTAAAAGAGAACAAAGAAAGGAGGCGCAGGGTCGGTCACACATTCAGAAAGGACGAGGCAGAAGAGATAAGTAAGGAAAGATCGGAGAAAGGATCAGAGAGGGAGAGAGAAGTGTGGAGTGTTCGCAGTCAAGAATACGAGAGGCGCGTTTTTTTTTTCGTTCTTTTCGTTTTTTTTTCCTGAGGACACAGCGTGATACTCCTGAAAGAAACACATAACATTAACAACAGCTGGTTTCCCTCAACCAATTCCCGCGCTATACAAAACTAAACAGAAACCAATTTCCCATTTCTTTTGACGAGCACGCATCAGCAAACGGGCCCAGACAGTTTGTTGGCCCTGTGCCTTCGGCGTTACACAGGCAAGGACATCATCACTTGAAGAAGCCCAGGAAGAAAAGATGGTTTCCCCCCTCTGCGGAGTTGCCTTTGACTCACTGATCGTACACTGAACCGTCTTTTTTTTTTTTAAAGAGTTTTGCTTTCTTTTGTTTCTTTTCATTGTTTGTATTTACACAGAAGTGTCTGCGTGCGTTTCAGTTCCCTTTTCCCTTTGGCCAAGCACTTTTTCCATGCAAAAGTTATTTGAAAAAGGTAGCTTTCCAAATAATAATAATAATAGTAATAGCAACAGTAGTACCAATAAATGGGGGCATGGGAAGCGTGTCGAGCAAACAAGGTGTCATCGCCTTCGGCTACTTTTCGTACTGTGTCACCAACGCCAACAAACCGGCACACGCAAAAGCGCTGGCTCGGAGACACACACACACAGACAGACAGACAGACAGACAGGCACGGACACCGACACACACACATGAACTCCCCTCAAGGAACAGAGGTACAACTTTTCTTTGATGGAAGCATCGCTTTTCTTTTCTTTGTTCCTTTTTCTTTGTACTGGCGTTCGAGTATCACAAGTACCAAGAAGAAAGAAGGAGGAAAGCGTATATAAATAGAAAGTAGAAGGCAGCTTCAGGCGGTTACCAATAATAGGAAAAGGGAAACGAAAGCTATACGTGTGTGTCTCTCTCTTGTACAATGCGTAGCTGATGAACGTGCCCTGCTACACACACACAGAGAGAAGAAAAACAAAAACAACAAAAGAAAAGGTCGACACAGAAAATACCAAAAATAGTGTTACTGTTAGCAACCAAGTCAAAAAAACAAAAGAAGAAGAAGAGTGAAGAGAACGACAAGAAGAGAAGGAAAAGGAAAAACGCAGAGTAAGAACCGTGTTCTGCATCTGTGATCATTTAGAAACAAACAAACAAACAAAAAAAAAAGCCATTACACGTTTGGTAAAACAACAACATCAACAAAACCACAAACAGAAACGAAGAAGAATGATATATTGATAAATAAATACTACATAGAAATGTGAAAAGTGAAGCGAAACGACAACCAAATAGAAGACACTACCGCGTCACACATCTTCCGATTTGTTGTACCTTCGTTTTTTCTTTCTTTCTTGTAGTTTCTTTGTTCCGTTTTCTTCTTCCGGCTAGGTGACTTTGCGAAGGAGAAAGGGGGAGAGAAAGCATTAAAAAAAAAGGTATATAACACACACGAAGAAAAAAGAGAAAGGGGAATGTGATAGACTTGCAGACATCACGATTATCAGCGAGGAGGAAAAGATGATGGTAAAAGCATGTTCACGTGCACCCACGCACCCACACACCCACATGCACGGCAAACAATGCGTCAATGCACAATGGGTCGCATCTTTCTATTTGCCCTTTTTAGAATATCTTCATTTAAAGCGATAATAATAATAATAATCTTGAGTTACACGAGCGGCACCATAAGAATGTTACACCTTGCTTTTCTCGTCACCGTTCTCATCGTACGCGCTCGTGGGTAATATATGTCAATGAAGCAAGTTATTATTATTATTATTATTATTATTCACTTTCTTGTTCGGATACATCCCTCGCCCTCCGCTTCATCGGTGTGAAGTTCCGCTTTTCGGATCTTCCTCTTTCAACTACTACTTCTTATTTTCTTCCTGGTTGTTTGTCCTCGCTCCAGTGGTGGTGCTCGCCTATTCGCGATAGCAAGCAAACTTGCGTCTTTGCGCGCGTGTGCCATCGCTGCCCCCTTTCCTCTTCCACTCGCTCGTTCTCCCAGTGAAGAACGCAGAAGCGAAAACAGAAAAGAGTGAGTCTGAGGAAGAGAGGTTCTGCGCAGAGCAACGCCGCTTGGTGCAAGCGATAGTTCCCCCCCAAAAAAAAACAACACAGACAACGCACTCACGCTCACACACAGGCAGACCTCAGCAAAAAAACATACAAGAAGAAAGAAAAAGAGCTGTAGACGAGCGATGAAGATCGTGGGGGGCGTGCTTTCTGAGAAAGCGAAAAAAAGTGTCGTTTGTCGTCCCCTCGTGTACGAGGTAGAACGGGTAACACGCACACCAATCACAATCCGACGGCGAGAACGCAGGGATAAACACGCATCAGTAACGCCGGACCATCCACATACGAAAAGAAAAAGGAAACGAGAAACACCACCACCTCGACTCCTTCATTCTTCCTCCGCTATTCCACTCCTCTAATATAGAAAGAGGAGAGACGAAGCAGGGGGAGGGAGGGAGAAGTTGAAGGGGGAAAGGACCACATGGAGACCCATAAGGACACATGTGCGGCGGTGTTTTCTTTCTTTCTCCCGTATTGCATAGAACTACCGTTCTTACTCGGCCTTCTTGTGCTCCACGCGGGGGCGCATGTGATTGTTCACGAACATCTGACCGAACATGTACAGGAAAGCGGTGTAGATGCACAGCTGCAGGCGAGCCGTCGCGGAGGTGGTGCCAGAGCAGGAGCCTTCCATGCCATCCACGATCCCCTGTCCCGCCAGAACGTACTTCTGCACGAGCACGTAGGTGGACACGAACATGACGCCCATCATCTGCACGAGCTGCAGCATCGTGATGTACATGGCGAACGGGCGAGCGATGTTCTTGAAGCCAGCCTCCGACAGGAAGAAGTAGAAGTACATGATGGTGTGCACAAAGTAGTTCATGGCGGCGGCGCAGATCAGCGTGCTGCTCCCGGTCTCGTAGGACAGCCAAACGTAAAGGAACATCGCGGTGTGGTGGAAGTAGGAGAGGTAGCGCAGCTTCGTGCCCTTCATCACCAGGAAGAAGGTGTCGCCGAACTCCGGCACCTTCGACATGGTGAAGAGGCCGAGCGCCACGCCGACGTCGGAGGTGTAGAACTCATCAGGGCGGAAGGTGCAGAGGGTGTCGTGCAGGCCGTACGTCTTGAGGTTGTAGATGACCACCGGCAGGGTGCGAGTCGTGCCGTAGAAGGCGAAGGCGGAGAGGAGGATGTTCCAGACCGCCCAGCACTTGTTAATGATGGGCACCAGCGGACTGGTCTTCGCGTTCGCCGGCAGATTCAGATACTTCGACACCAGCTTCGGCGCCTCAAAGACGAAGGTGAGGTAGGCGAAGGAGACGTAGATGGCGATATCATGGTTCTCCAGCAGCCACTGCTTGAATGCGTAGCCGTCGTAGTTGGTGGCACCCCAGTTGTCGATCCACTGCATGATGACGATGCCGTAATGATGAGGAGAGAGGGATAGTAACTAGCGCAGGGGAGAAAAGGCCGATGTGGATCGAGTCGCTTGTTGCTCCTTTTCAGAGAAATCCAGGCGTTGTGGTGCTGCTTCGTGGGAGAAGAATCACCAAAAGGACGCAAAGAAAGCGGTGTGCTGCGCAGTGGTGGGTTAGCGACGGATCCTCACAGAGAGAGAGAGAGAGAGAGCGAAGTCAAACGTCAGAGTTGGTGATCGCACGGTACAAACGCGTGTGTATGAGGGCTTAAGGAGACTGTACAGGGTGGGTCACAAACAAGGTAGACAAGGGCAGAAGGTGTGTGTGTGTGTGTGAGAGGGAGAGAAACAGAGTACGAAAGGCAATAGAATGCGCTTCAAGACGTCCACGGAGTGTGCGAAGGCATCTGCAGCGGACACTAGGCAAATGCGTTCTCTGCAAAGGCACGCCCTTCCGCCCGCAAGGGTGCCAACAGCCAGGAATCTCATGGTGGGTGGCAACACAACATACCGTCTACAGAGCCTCAGAAAGAAGGCGTGTTCAAGCCGAGTGTCTGGGCTTACAAGGAAAGCGCGCACGGCTGGCATAGAGTGCTATTGTTTTGCGTCCATCGCGTCCCATGTTCACAGTAATCCCCCCACACGCACACACACATGAGTGCGGCGGCGCCCTTTCGGAGTTGTGCCGCTTCGTCCGATTAAGCGACACACCATCCTGCACCGCCTTTCCCTGCGTTTCTTCTTGGAGCTGTTCGACACAAACATGCGGCCATAGCGAAGAAGAAAAGAATGACACTGACCGGGAGCACAAGAAAAAATTCCGTGTCAATTGAAAGTGTGGGCTTCCCAACGCGTGTTCTATTGCGTACGTCTGCCTCCGCTCAGAATTCGACCGCTTTCTAAGTGAAGAGGCGCAGCAACAGAGAACCGGAGAGGACCTGGCGGGTGGACAATGATATACACTGTCGGCACCCTTAATCATTATGATCAAGAGGAAAAAAAAACGAATAAAACACACAAATTCATCAAATCAGCAAATTAATTGATTACCGCACACCACACTGAAACCAGGAGAAGAATCCGATATCAGCCAGTCTCCTCGATGGTTCTGCTTCCTGGCACGTACAATGGAAAGAGAGAAGTCGGGCGATAGATTGTACGGCGATGCACACGAAGCAAGACGGCTCAGACCAGTCTCCGAAGAGAGAGAGAGAGAACGCCATCAGCGGTGCTTTTATCATTTTACTTCCGTTTGCACATTGCACGTGGTGCGCCTCCTTCATCCCGCGACCGCACGAAAGCATCCACAGAGATGCCGTGCCTGTTGGCCTGCTTACTCGTTCTTCTTCACGGCAGGGGCGCTCTCGACGGGGACCTTGCGAGGCAGGATATAGCCCTTCACAAACATCTCCGAGAAGAGGTAGAAGTTGAAGAAGTAGATCATGCACTGGCCACGAGCAAGGGCCACCGTGGAGCCGTTGCAGCCCTCCGGGTCCTGACTGTGGTAGAACATGAAGCAGAAGGTGAAGTAGAGACCAATCACCATCTGCGTGATCTGCATTAGAGTGATATACATGGCAAACGGCCTCACCAGGTTCTTGAAGCCCGCCTCCGTCAAGGCGAAGTACGTGTACATGACGGAGTGCACAAAGTAGTTGAGCGCAGCGAGCACGATCCAGACGCTCGAGGCCTGTTGGTAGGCCATCCACGCGTAGAGGAAGATGGTGACGTGGTGGAACCAGGGGAGGAAGGGCACGGAGCGCTTGCCGCCGAGGACGAGGAAGAAGGTGTCGCCAAACTCCGGCAGCTTCGAAATGGTGAAGAGCCCCATCGACATACCGATCGGGCCCGTGAAGAACTCGTCCTCGCGGAAAACGCAGAGGGTGTCGCGCTTGCCGTACTTGTACAGGTTGCCCACGAAGGTCGGGACGATGTGGTACGCGCCGTACATCGAGAAGACAGCGAGGCCGACGTTCCAGACGGCCCAGCACGTCTTGATCAGCTTCGTAGGCGGGCTGCCGCGGAAGATGTAGTCCACCAGGATGGGGCCCTTGAAGACGAAGGTCAGGTAGGCCGCGGCGATGTAGATGCCGATGTCCACGTTGTTGGCCATCCACTGCTGCACGGCGCGGCCATCCCAGTGGGCGACGAGGTAGTTGTCCAGCGCTTGCATGGCGACGTCAACGATGAGCTGGCGAGGAGAGGCCGAGGTGGATGGGGGTGAGGAGCGGGGAGCGGGCAAGAGGGCTCTAGAAGGGGCAGCTACGGTCAATTATTGCTGAAAGGAATGTGTGCGAGTGCGTCTGCGTGTGTGTGTGTGTGTTTGCGATCACATTTACGAGAGCAGGTGCGGATGCGAGAGAACCACAAGCAGGGGGAGAAGGAGGGAAGGAGGATCAGGATGGGAGGTCCGCGGTGCAGCATGGTAGAGCGCATCAATGGAACACTAATAAAACGCGACGGACGAAAGAACGGTGTGGCACACGCACGTGGAAAAGACAAGACAAGCAAATAAACACAAAGCAGCCCCAGCGCAACAACCATCGCCTGCCGCCGCGTAGGCGCGAGCACGCAGCGGAGAGGCGGTGGGGATTCATAAACCCATCCTTCTTTCCTTACCTCTACGAGCTTCACTTTTGCGTGCAGAAACACGCACTCGGCGAACGTGATTTAATACAAAAAGAGAGAAGCAAAAACATATATATAGGCGGGTGACGTGCTTCCTTCATCGTTGATACGGATGAAGCGGACCAAGACGGGTGCCAACAACAGAATCATGATTGCTTGTGCACCGTCACCACCGCCACCACCACCACCACCACCACACGGTGTACTATCGGCTGAAAGAATAAATATAAAACTCGAAGAAGCCATAAACGACACAAAGACAGATTCGCGAATGCTTTAGAGGAGTAAGGGGAGGGGGAGGTGGGAATACACTGAGACACGGAGTAAATCAACATATGTTTGCACCATACGAAATGACACACCGGAGAAATACAAATAGTATGCTGGGAAGAGAAGGAAGCTTAATGAAGTAAGACACAACAAGAGCGTCCACAGGCATGGACAACCCACAGTGCCAGTTCACGGACGCAAGCGAGGCACTCCTGTACTCGCGTTCCAGCCTCTTTCTTCCGTTGCCAGTGCACGCAGAAACGGCGGTGAGCGGACGCGTGGAGCACGCATTCATGCGAGCACTGACGTCAGAGAAGAGAGGCGCCAAACGCCAGCAGGAATGCAGAAACAAGAAAGTAAATACGTTTAGAGAATAGTGCTTTCGCGTAGAGAAGGGGAAAATGGTAATCACAACAATGAGACCGCCTTCGCGAGGATTGTCACAGCACACTTGCTGTGACAACCTTTCCTTTGCTTGCTGCCCTCCCTCGAGGCGCTCTGCCAGCAGCAAGGAAACAGTCAACGGTGGCTGATGTGACACGCTGCAGTTGCGTTGAAGAGCAGGTGGCGCAAACGACGCTGTGCCGCGGGACTGGTGGTGTTTTTCTTTTCCCCCTTTTGGTTGGTGGGGCTGCCCGTGTCCCCGTGCGCGCGCTTGGCTTGTGGGGCCTGGCGCCGCTGGGAAAAAAGTGGACGAATAGGGGATCGAACCCTAGGCCTTCCGTATGCGAAACGGACGCTCTACCACTGAGCTATACGCCCGACGCCCATCCTTCGCGCCTCGCAGAGGCAGCCAGCGCCGTCGCACTTCCTCCGTCTACCTCGACGCCCGCAAAGCGAGTTACGCCTTCGTGCTGGCCGCGTCCGGCCGCTTGAACACGTAGGCGCCGAGGAACAGCTGCGTGAACGGGACAAGGTTCGCCGCAGCGATGAGGATCTGCACGCGGACGGCGTCCCACGGAGTGCCGGCGCAGGCAGCTGGGTCCGCGTCCGGCCGGCCCACCGCGTAGTCGAGGTACTTCTCGTACGTGACGAAGGCGATCAGCAGCAGGCCAACCGCCATCTGCGTGATCTGGGCCAGCGTGATGTACATGGCGAAGGAGCGCACGAGGCTCTTCAGGCCGACCTCGGCCACGGCGAAGTAGAGGTACATGACGGTGTGCACCGAGTAGTTGAGCGCGGCGGCCACGGTCAGGACGCCGCTGCCGACCGCGTAGGCGTGCCAGCAGTACAGGAAGGTCGTGACGGGGTGGAACCACTGCAGAAACGGCAGTCTACGGCGACCCGACAGGAGAAGGAAGACGGTGTCGCCGAACTCGGCGCCCTTCGAGAGGGCGAAGAGGCCCATCGCCATGCCGGTCGGGCCGCGGTAGTACTCCTCGGGGTGCAGCGTGCAGAGGGTGCTGCGCAGGCCGTCGCGGCGCACGTGGTGCAGCAGCACCGGCACCACGTGCGACGCACCGTAGAAGGAGAAGGCGGAGAGGAGGAGGTTCCAGCAGATCCACGGGCAGCGCGGCCACGCCGGCTTCTCGCCGGTGCGCTGGACGCCCTCTCCACCGTAGACGTACTTCGCAACGAGGGGTGGGGCGCGGAAGACGAGGGCGAGGTACAGACCTGCAATGTAGATGGCGTAGTCGGTGTGGTAGATGAGCCACGCCTTGTAGGCGTAGCCGTCGTAGTTGGCGGCACCCCAGCTGTCGATCCACTGCATGTTGATGACGATGCAAAGGGTGTGCTTCGAAGAGGGGAGGCTGTTGACGTTGTACTGCCGTGTGTGCGATAAGAACAAAAGGAGATGGAGATGGCCCGAGTTGGGCGGACGGAGAGAGAGGGGTAAAAAGTCTGTGCTGGCCGCGGCGGTGGGCGTCAAGGAAAGGGTGGAGGACGATGTGGCAGTGGAGGCGACGCGAACGCACCGGTGGAGAAGACAGTCGAGAGGAGGCAGGGCCATACAAATAGAGAGGTCGGTAAATGCAGCGAAAACAACACGTTTCTCAGGGGCACCACCCCCCTCAGGGGAAGATGATCTCGTCTCCTACGCTAGACGAGTCACACGGATTCAACCCAGGCTGCTGCGGCACGGCCGCATGCGTGGGTGGGTTTTGCAGGTGTATGAAAGCACACGCGATGACTTTAAAAAAGTGCGGGAAAACGAGGAAGCTTGTCCACATGACTTGACCCCTGTGGACCACACTGTTCACCTTCACCACCGCCATTTAGCCATGCGAACAGCACTACTTCGATTCATTGATGTTTTCTTCACTTTTCTCCGGCTTACAACATGTCACACGTAAACTCGCGCAAACACACGCATTTCCCCCCGAGGTGAGGGTGCGAGCACGCTTCTATGCAAATCTTAATGTCGGTATATTTTTTAGTGCTCGTCTTACAGAAAAAAACCTGGCGATAGTCTCACGATTACGGAGATGACACAGACTGGAAAAGAGGAATCATTAAAAGTCTATGAAAAACAAAAAAGACGGCCTTTGCCTTTCTGTTGAACTGATTTCAGCCTTAGCGCGAAAAAAAAAACAAGGAGAGGAAAAGAAATGGGAGGGGGGGGGGAGGGCGGGCGTATCAGCTCCTTAGGCGAGAATGTAAATGGTGTGCGTGAGAGAGAGAGAGGAAAGGGCAAGGAAGGACAAAGGTTCATGTGCGCAACGATGCGGAACAGCGGAGAATCAACAAAAAAGGTAAAAAAAACGACAAACAATAATAGTAATGAAATCAACAAATAAAGAAGAGGGGAAGAAAGGCTTCGATACTGACACCCACAAAACGATGGATCCGTTGAACTCGCTTACTCTCTCCCTCCCCCTCTCTGTATAGTTGTGTCTGTGTGTGGATGCTATTTCTACCACCAAAGTTACTGGATGCACGGCTACCAGAGATAGCAAGCGCAGTCCCGAGACCTGAACAGGGAAAAAAGAGGAGGAATGCTTCACTCGCGAGTGTTTTTTTTCGTTCTTAGGATAGATCTGCAGAACTCTTCCAACAGAAAATGTGTGAGACGTAGCTTGATGCGACACATGTTGGGTCTACGCGTGTTCGTGAGAACGGTGTTGTTGAAGCGCGGTAAAAAATACAAACAAACAAACAACGGGATCTCTGAGATGTACTCCTTTTCCCCAATAATAATAAAATAATAACGAAAAACCGCCTCCCTTGTTTAGTACAATATCTCTGCAGATCAACTAGTGAAGCGCAGACCGTGGAGAAAAAAAAAAAGAGAAGGAAAAGGAAAACATGAATGTGCAGAGCGGCTTCCTGATGACGCAAATGTATTTGATGAAGAGCGTCAATGATTCTTCGGTTTCGAAGCAACACAAGCGGAGCGAGAACACTATCTTTTCTTCACGGTGCCGCTTTCGCATCGAAAGGAAGAGTTGCCGAGGGTGAAAAACAGAACAACAACAACAAAGAAATCAGACACTCAAAGAAAGCTACGATGACCAGCTAAAAGATCTGGTCCATTCAAAAGCTCAGTTAACGAAACGACCTTTTGAATAAAGTGGTTCTTAGATTTCTACTTGCTGCGCTCTTGCTCTGCTGCTACACAACCAGAAGTCTGTCCTTCCTTTCTTCGATAACACTTGAAAATGAAGGCTGTGGTCAGCTATCACTCCCTTTTTTTTTGCTGTTGCCATTTTCAGTACCTCAACGCCTCCTATTCATCATGAAAACAAACAAACAAAATAAACATCAAGATGAAGTATGGAAAAAATTTGACTGTTCACGCTTCTCCTCCGCTCGTCCTTTGTCCGATGGCGTGCGTGCAAGGAATAGGACGATAAAGAGAACACACTAGAGTCGGCACCCGCGGTGAGGAGTATGTTTAGCGGCACATGTGTTTGCAAATGTATTTGGCGTATGCGCAACGACCATTACGAGTTCAACATTCGATCTCTCCCTCTCCCCTCCCCTCCCCCTCCTCCTTTTCTTCTCTTCTTCATGTTTTTTTTTTGCTCCAGTAAGCTTGACATTGACAATGCCATTTTTCCTTTCATTCTCCTACCTAGGCAGTGCGCACTACGCAGCCTTCTTCGAGGCCGGGGCGGGCTTCTTCATATACGAGTTCACGAAGAGCTGCGAGAAGAGGTAGAGGTACGAGACGTACATCAACACACCGAAGCGAGCCGCGGACTTGGACACGGCGCAGGGCAGCTGATGAATATCTGTCACCCCGGCGTTGTAGGCCGACGCGTTCACCGCGTAGGAGTAGAAGGTGAGCACCGAGCCGCCCACCATCTGCGCAATCTGCAGGGCCGTGATGAAAGGGGCAAAGGGGCGCAGCAGCTTCTTCACACCGCACGCGCATAGGGCAAAGTACGAGTACATAATGGAATGCACGCAGATGTTCATGGCGGCGAACACCGACATCGTCGAGCTGCCAACGCTGTAGCTGGACCAGGCGAAGATGAGCACCGAGACGTGGTGGTACCAGTGCAGGAACGGCGGCGTTTTCTTCTTCTGCAGAACCAGCCAGAGGGTGTCCACCAGCTCAAAGATCTTGCTTACGACGAAGATGGCGGTCCAGAAGCCACACGGGGAGGTGTAGGTGAGCTCATCGTCAAGCACGCAGACGGTCTTCCGCAGGCCGTTCTTCGCGATGGCGCCAAGCAGCGCCGGCACAATCACTACCGCCCCGCAGATGGAGAAGATGGCAAGGAAGAAGTTCCACGCAACCATGGACAGACGCAGCCACTCCGGGTCTGCCGGCGGGCGAGGACGCTTGCCATCAGCCGCAGCGACCGGGGCGGGGTTCTCGCCCAGGAGCGACTTGGCAATCCCAGGTCCGTAGTGCACCATGCCGAGGTACGCGAAGGCGAGGTAGCAGCAGTAGTCGACGTTGTCCAGCATGTACTGCTGCACGACGTGACCGTTCACGTACTCGTCGTAGGGGAACATAGTTGCTGTCGAGGTGGGAAAAAAAAGATATGTGTGTATGTGTTTCTCGTTCAAAGAGAAAGACGGAGCTGTGTGTGAGAAGAAGAAGCGTCGTTAAGTAATTAAGTGATGCAAAACAGAACAAAAACAAAAACACACACACAAAGGATTCACTGCGGTGCGAACTGAAAAGGAGGAGCGGATGAGGAGCGCACGGGATCCAGGAATACATGTATGTATGTATGGTTGGTTTGCATGTTTGTACACATGTGAAAGGAAAAGAAAGACAAAGTAGAGGATAGAGTAGAGGGGTAGGAGTGAAGTGTTGCTCCCTTCTTTTTGTGTGTTTGGAGAAGGAAAGCAGCATTCCTGCCACGCCAAGGCGATCCCTTCCACGCGACAGTAGAAATGCTTTTCTTTTCGGATTATTATTATTCTACGAATACCAGTAACAATAAAAGCTGCTGACGAACGTCGAAAAACGGAGGAGCCGCCTTTTAGCTGCAGAGGTCACAAGTCTGTTTCTGCTTACAAAATGGCCTCCCCTCCCCCCACCGCACGCTTCCATCGACGTACAAGGAGATACCTTACCTCTATCTATGCGTATACATTGAAATAATTTCTTCTTCTTTTCCTTCTTGGACTTCTGTTCGTTTAAATGCTGCTTCCCTCCCTCTCCCGCCGATGCCACAGCACACACATACACACACATAAAGCTCACCACAAGCAAAAAAACCTGCTCAGACACATCCCTCTTCTTGTCCCTTCATATACGAAGCAACATCGGAAGAAGAACACCAACAACAACAACACCGTTTAGAGTCGCCCCGACGTAGCCTCATCGTGGCCGCTGTCGTGTGACAAAGTTGTGCGGCTGACCGGTAACGATGCTGCTGGTAGTCGTTGACGCCTACGAGCGGTCTTGTGACAGGCGGGGCCGCCGGAAGAAACATACGATAAAGAAAACAGGAGAAGAAAAAAACCCCAGATGAAAAAAAAACGAAAGGAAAAAGAAGATCATTTTAAAGGCGCGGAAGAACGAGAAAGAATCTGTTATGTATGAGCACCATGCTTTTTAAAAAATATTTTTATCCCCCGCCTTCTTCACTGTCGTTCTTTCTGGAATAAGTTTAGTTAGTATGGTCCTCTCCAACAGAGCGAGCAACACACAGAATCTCTTGCAACACCAACACCACCTCCAACAAAAATGTGTGCAGCGGCAGCAGCAGCAGCAGCAGCAACCACGACGTGGAACGGCATGCAGTGTGCAGCGACAACACTTTTAGTTAGTCACTTTCACTCATTGAAAAGAAAAAACCCCGAATGGACAAACAAAACAAGAAACAGATGTGCTCGACCTCATCTTGTGTGTTCGGACCTTGAACAACAACAACACCACCAAACACCGGATTTACGACGATGTGCGGCTGCCACATCGGATCCAAAAAGAGCAGCACCACTTACCACCAAAACTTTGCACCTTTTTCTTATCGAGTGTAAGACAACAACAACAATAAAACACACATACATCCAGACAGGAACTGTAATCGCAAAAACCCGCATCATCAACATGGAGACGTACATTGTCACGCAACGAGGGTGCACATGTGTGTGTTTGTATGTGTGTGTGTGTGTGTGTGTGTGACCTGCGCCGCTACGCACAGCCTTTTTTTCTCTTTCTTTTTCATCGTCAGCATGATTCTTACACGCAAATTATCCAACTTTTCTTTTCTTCCCCGCTCAAACATTGCAGGTCTGCAGTCAACGTGTGCCGCTAGTTTGCAAAAACAAACAAACAAATACAAAAAACAAACGCATAGGAATATTAAACGGATGAAGGAAGTAACACCAAGCAAGACAGAGAAAGAAGCACACACATGCATCTACACGTGGAAACACTGACACCCGAAATTGGCATATATATGACGCAAAACATGGTAGAGGAAAATAAAGAGAAGAAAACATCACAAATGAGGAGTGCGTTGTGCTGGGCTGGGGAGACGTGGCAGCAACGCGGATGTAAAGAGGGCCGACATCACCGCGACAAGTGCGCGTTACATGACGTGGAGTGCGCTTCGGGTTGCTTTTCAAGGCCTCCATGCACACACAAACAATCGCTACAGGAGAGAGAAAAAAAGATAAGAACAACTCACAGACGAGAGCGGTTGCAACAATCACCGACATCAAGGAAAAAAAAGTGCAGCTCACCAGCAGCTTCGTCCTACAGTAAACACAGACGCGGAAACGCACACCTACACAAAAGAGTCTCGCGGTACCAGCAGCAACGTAGAGCAGCTTACTGAGCCTTCTTCCGGTTGGCGTCACCGTTGGTCAGTTCGCCGTTGGGTTTGTCGGCTCTCCTCTCTCTCCCCGACACCGTAGGGCGCGGCGCAGGCGGCTTCATGTAGCTTTCGTAGAAGAGCTTCGTGAAGAGAAGGAAGTAGGTCAGGTACATCAAGAACCCAAGCCGCGCGTTCGTCGCGTTCGAGTCGCAGCGGCGGTCGGTGAAGTAGAGAATGTACAGCGTGTAGACCTCGGTGAACATGCCGACCACCATCTGCGCGATCTGCAGGAACGTGATGAGCCAGGCAAAGGGGCGCACGACACGGCGGTAGCCGCAGGCGCAGATGAAGTAGTAGAGGTACATGATGGAGTGCACGCCGTAGTTCATGCCGGCGAAAACGAGTCCACCAGAGATGTTGTACATGTACGCGTGCCAGCAGTACAGCATCACCGTGACGTGGTGGTACCAGTGCAGAAAGATAACGCGTTTCTTCTGGAAGACGAGGAAGGCGGTGTCGAGCATCTCAGGAATCTTGCTCAGGATGAACATGGCGACAAACGCGCCGACAGGGCCGTCGTAGAAGGCGTTGTTGTTCCAGTAGCAGAAGGCGTTGTACACGCCGCCCTTCCATGGAATCTCGCCCCCGGTGGCGTAGTCGTGCAAGTAGAACTCCGGCACGAAGATGGTGCGGTACAGCTGCGGGAGGCAGTAGTAGGCGCCGGCCATGGAGAAGACCGTCAGCAGCAGGTTCCACACTTTGTTCAGCTGACGCAGATCGAAGGCCTCCCGGTCCTTCATGTACGCGTCAGGGATGTAGAGCACCAGCACCATGTACATCCCCACCACCAGCACGGGGATCTCTAGGTGGTCTGACATCCATTGCAGCACGTTGTCGCCGCGGAAGTTGTCCAGGAAATCTATTTTCACCATCGTGCGTCGCGTTGAACACGTGCTGCTACGTTGCAGACAATATATATATATAGATAGATATATAGATATCTAGACACTTGAACGTAAATATTGTCACCTAAAAAAAGAAACAAGGGCGCCGTACGAGCATGCGCTTTGTGTGTGTGTGTGTGCGTGAGGGGTGTGTGACCACCTGCCTGGAGAAGAGGTGCTGAGAGATCGTTTGGTTCCCTTGAACTACTCATACGAAGCGAAAGCAAAACAAAAACAGAAACGAGCGGCAAAAAACAAACAAACGCAAAAAGAGACCTCAATGAGAGGAAGAGAGAGAGAGAGGAGGGGGGGGGGAGGGCAGCGGAGCAGGACGTAGTTAAGTATAAGCACCAGCCGTCTCGCACCTGATCAGCCGTTCCGATTATTTTACTCGGCTGCCATATTTTCTTCCTTTTTATCATCACTCCTTCAAAGCTGTTGAAGTCTTCCGTGTTGATGAGGGAATGAAAACAAACAGACCAGCGAGGGCCGACCATTGACAACGCCACCACACTGAAAGCACCACACACACACGTACAAGCTACGTGATACACTGCAGGTTGCAGCTGCCTTGAGGACGCCACGATGCACTGCATCAGAGCACTTCATTTTCATAACATGTTTTCTCCTAAAAAAAGGGTAAACAGGATAAGCCCCATCACGCACGCGTCTCCAGGTGCACCCGCTAAGCCCTAAAAGACTTCCTTGCGGTGGTTGCTCAGGATACGTATGTGAATCGATAAGAAACGGATGTTCAGAAAAGAGTGGAAAGAACGAGGTAAATGCGTTTAAAGAACAATGAAAGGAAACATCAGGAAAAGAAAACAACAACACCACCACCACCACCACCGGTTGCCACGCAAGCAATCGGTTCCTCATGCAGCAGACACAACAAAGGAGTGGGAGTAAACACACAACCACAACAACTCCACAACTCCGCACCGTCAACAACGAAAAGGAAAAACGGAGATGTATGAAAGAGGCGACATCACACGAAACAAACAAACAAACAAACAAAAATCGTTCAATCGAGGAAAAAGGAATTGCCAATTGGCGAAAAATAAAAATATACAGTGTTAATTCTACATTTTCTTATCCGTGTGAAACTGCGCCTTCTTTGCATTGAGCAGTTCAACGTCGGAGGTCTTCCCGCTGCTCTATCGCCTTCGATGATCCACACTCCCCATCTCACGCCCACCCGTTTGCGGACCAGTTAATGGATGAGATTCTAGCCCAAAACCAAAAGTCGGGTGAGTGAAGTACTAATTCATTCCCACGCCTGGAGGCACAAGAAAGAAAAGAAAAAGGTGAGAAAAGAAAACGTTGAGCGGATGAGGCATCACAAAGGAGGCAGCGAAAACCGCAGTGGTTTTCTTCCTTCTCGCTTTCTGCTTTCATCTAATGACGACGCTGGATGGTGTGCGTCCCTGTGACCAGCTTCTTGCTCTCCGGGTAGTAAACGATGCTCGCCATCGCCACCGGCGCAGCACGCGGGTGACGCGGCGGAGCGCCGTGCTCCACCGCCACCGCCGCCGCGCTCTGTGCTGCCCGTCCGCTCATGTAGTTGTCGTAGAACAGCTTACTGAAGAGCCCAAAGTACGAGACGTACATCATGAAGCCCACGCGCGCATTCGTCGCGTTCGACGCGCACCCCTTGCCGGAGACGTACATGTGATAGAGCGTGACCGCCTCCACCACCATGCCCACCACCATCTGCGCGATCTGCAGGAACGTGACGAAGGGGGCGATGGGGCGGACGTACTTGCGGTAGCCGCAGGCGCAGAGGAAGAAGTAGAGGTACATGATGGAGTGCACGCCGTAGTTCATGCTGGCGAAGATCAACCCCCCTGAGATGCGAACGGCGTACGAGTGCCAGCAGTACAGCATCACCGTGGCGTGGTGGTACCAGTGCAGAAAGATAACCTTCTTCTTCTGGAAGATGAGGAAGACGGTGTCGAGCATTTCTGGGATCTTGCTCACGATGAAGAGAAGCACGAAGGCCCCGACAGGCCCGTCGCAGAATAGGTTGTCGTCCCACCCGCAAATGCCGCTGTATAAACTGCCGTGCAGCTCCACCTGACCGCCGTGCTGGTAGTTGCGCACCGTGAAGTTCGCCACGAAGAGCGACCGTAGGGCCTGCGGAATGCAGTAGCAGGCGCCGGCCATGGAGAAGACCGTCAGCAGCAGGTTCCACAGAAGGTTGAGGGTGCGCAGGTTGTAGGCGTGGCGGCTGTTCATGAACATGTTGGGCACGTAGAGCACCGTCACGATGTACAGCACCGTAACAACGGAGGGGATTTCCAGATTCGCCCGCATCCAGGCGCACACCGCCTCCCCGCGATAGCCATCGAGAAAGTCCGCAACTCTTTGCATTTCTTTTTGTTTTGGGTTTTGGATGGGAAGGCCGCTATTGTTGAGAACACAAAAAGAGACGGTAAGTAAGTGAGGCGTGGCCAATACCAGAACTTTACTCGGTGTTAATCAGCTGTTCAACTGAGCGTAATGTACGAGGGAGCGAAAAGCTAGGAAAAAAGGGGAGTCGATGTGTTTATTTTTGCTCCACTCGCGCTCCGCTTTAGTAGAGGAAGGAGAAGAAATACTCCGAAGGTGAGAACACTAATAAAAAGGTACGTGGGGAGTAATAATGATAATGAAAAGTACTTCAAAACAACACAAAACAAAACGAGAGTGAAGAATAGGAGAAGGAGAACACTGGAAGGCTTTTTAGCTTTAAACGTAGAACTATCCCTGCCCAGTGTATCCATATATATATAAATTGGCACTGCTTTACGTGCTTGCACAGATAGTGAAAGAAACCATGCAAAACACAAACAAGCAGGAAAAAGGAAAACAAAAACCAAAAAACGACAACGAGCGTGGCAGTGCAGCAGGCGCCGAAGCTCAATGGCCCCTGCACGAACACCGCAGATGCTCAGGCTAAAGAAAAGAAAAAAAGGAACAAACACAGAAAACACCAACCGACCAAAACAAAAAGGAAAAACAACGCTGAGGACTACTCGATTATTACCCGAACGGAGCTACGCCACAACTTAGAATCGTGATTTAGGTATAGATTCTGCTTGAATCGCTGATCAGATAAAAGTCTGAAGACAGACACTTTCGCACACACACACACAGGCAACAGAAAAATGCATTAAAGGTAATATACAGTTAGATATATTTTCTACGCTGACCGTTCTACTTATCGCTGCTTCGCCAATTTACTCGTCTCGTAAGGGGAGTGGGGTGGGGTGGGGTGCGTGGAGGGTGTACACCGGTGTAGGCGGGCGCTGTGATGGCCGTGCATGCATAAAGCGGACAACGCAGCAGAAAGGTGGTATACACAGACTGGGGCAGTCGGGAAGGAGAAAGAAAAAAAAAGTTGGCGGATCCAGCGAGTTCAACGGCTCGGCGAGCAATGCAAGAAGACAAGAACGCAATTCGAAAACGACAAAGATAGAGAGAGAGAGAGGATAATAAAAAAGGCCGTTACATATGTGTTACAGGAACGAGGCACCTCTCAAGAAACAGTAGAAAAGAAAACGAAAACAACAGCCACTACAACAACTTTTTTTCGTGTGGAGCGCGCGATTGCGTAGCGAAACACACACACACACACAGGCAAGACGGAGAGGGAGGAGAAGAAAGACAGAGAGAGGAAATACGGTATTGATAAATCGAAGCAGCGGTTCGTTCCATCACTGCTTTTCTTTTTTGTTGTTTCTGCAGCAGAAGGGGCATACGGCAGTAAAACGAAGTAGAAACACCGCGAAATGATTGAGGATTGTGGATCATGACAATCACTGTTATTACTAGTGCTAGTATTATTATTATTATTATTAATGCTCTTTTTCTTTTTCGGAAGTAGCGATCGATGTTTTTAGAAAGATCTCGAAGAAACAAATAATAACAACAACAGGAAAAAAAACCAAATAAAGCATGCAAATCGTACTCGGCAGCTGCAATTGGCTTCTTCTTTTCTAGCGAAGCGTGTTAGGAGATGTTTCATAACAAGAATCCAAAACCATGGAATGAAGCTGGAGACGGTCCGCCTAGACCACCTTTTTCATTTTTTCTCTCCCGCTGTCTAGAGGCGAACAGCCGTCGTTGCGTCAGCTACAATACAAACAGGAGTTGAAAAAAAAAACCCCCGGAAAAAACAAACAACAACAGCAATATATATCAAGATAACAACTTCACGAACTGCGTTTCATACTTCAAGGGCACCGCAGCAGAGCCGCGCACCCACCTCATCTTACCCCTCTACCCCTCTACTCCTATATACATATTATTTCTGAATGCAAACATCACGTCCACATCACCACCGCACAACTTTGAAACGTTGTCGTCCCTCAGAGACAAGATGTCACCGTGGTTGAGCACGGTGGGAGGACGGCGTTAAGTGAGCGGGGGGCTCCCGGCAATGGTGAGTGCCAAACAAAAACAGAATCAAGCAAACAAGTAAACAGCAACGACTACCACCACCATCACGACCACTACAACGCTATAAGAATCCTCCCCCAAAATCCACCATCCCACGAATGAGAAAAGACAAAAAAAAAGAAAACAGGGAAAGGTACTTGTCACATAGAAGAAACAAAAACAAACACAAAGGCTAAGAGTTTAACGAGAAAATAACAACGAGATCGATCTAGACAGATGCGGAAGAAATACCACAAGGAGGAACGCGCTGCTAACGTTGCACACACACACACACACACACACAGACAGAGACGTAGAAAGAAAAGAGAAGAGGACAACAAAAGGAAAAAATAATACTTCAATGCACATTAACGTGGAGGAGGAGAAAGGAGAGAACACACACACACACACACACGAAGATAAATATGCACTGGTAGGGAGGGGCGTTCAGGAAACGCAACGGTAAAACAACGATGGAGTCGATGGAGAGAAGAAAACAGAAACAACAAAAAAAACCCCACCCATAATGGAAGTAAGAATATGAAGGGAGGAGGGGGGGGGGGAGGAGAGAAATACCACGATTGGGATGTTCTCCCTTTCTTCTTTCCCGTTTTTTTTTGGGGGGGGGTTGTGCTTTCCGTTTGGGTGCGCGGTTGCGGCTTGGCGGGAAAAAAAATATGGGCCGCTAGGGGAATTGAACCCCTGACCTCCCGCACCCGAAGCGGGAATCATACCACTAGACCAAGCGGCCGCGAGTACCTCCCCGCTTTCATAACGGTAACACACACACACACACAAGGTAGCAAACAAGAGGGAAACCAAAATCTACGGAGCACGGTAGAGGCACCTCATATAGAAAATATACGCTAAGAAAGCATTCGCCCGACTCGCGTGTCTCCTCGTCCGGTTCAACTGCCGAAGAGAACTCCGAGCAAAGGAACCAACGATGACACGTACAATACATATATATATAGAGAGAGAGAGATAACGCATGTACACATACACACCTAAAAGGAAAAAAAACACACACAAAATACTGATGATGCAAAAACTTGAAGAGACGGAATTGCGCCGTCAGCACGACGACGGCGGACACGAACGGAAGGGGAAAGGAGGGGGATCGCCGACTGTCATAGGCATACCGCGACGTAGGTAGCAACAACAATCGAATCGAGTCGAATGGAAGGGATATTAGTTTTCGTTTTTTCTTCCTTTTCCCCCCGCTGGGGTGCATTCGAATGATCTGCGGAAAGAAAAGGAAAGAAGGGGAGAAGAACAAACACAACAATTCGGCACGCAACGTTGCTGCTCCGTGTTCTTCCGCTTTCCGGCTTCTTTGCCTGTTAAAAATTTATTTGCTGTTGTCCTTGTGTGCTTCTACGCCTCACAGCGGTCACGCCGCTCGCGACGCTTGCGGCCGTACCGGTCACGGTACAGCTTGATGAAGAGCACAATGTAGGAGAAGTAGATGCCCATACCGAAGGCCAGCGAGGCCGCACTCGTATCGCAGCCCTTGGGGTGGAGAAGGTAGAGCCCGGTTGTGTACAGCACGAGCAGCATGCCGGCGAACATCTGCACCAGCTGCAGCAGCGTCACCATCGGTGCAAACGGACGGGCCACGTTACCCAGCCCACAGGCGCACATGAAGTAGTAGAAGTACATCAGCGAGTGCACGGCCATGTTCATCACGGCGAAGCCGAGCCCGTTGCTGATGCTGGACACGTGCGCGTGCCAGCAGAACAGCATGACGGTTGTGTGGTGGTACCAGTGGATAAAGGGGACCGGCTTGCGCTTCAGCACCAGAAAGAGCGTGTCGGCCAGTTCAAGGATTTTGCTAAGGTTGAAGGTGACGAGCCAGAACCCGGTGGGACCGTCGAGGAAGAAGCTGCGGTTCCAGTAGCACAGAGATGTGTACACGCCGCCCCGCACGTGCGGGTCGTAGTCCCACGCCCCCGTCTTCCAGTCCTTCTTAGGCGCCAGGCCCGGCAGGTCGCGGTCCGTCGTCAGCACCACCCGGTACAGGACGGGCAGGCAGTACAGCAACCCCACACAGGACCCGACACTAAAGAACAGGTTCCAAATGGGGATCACAATGGACACACCTGGGATAAGCTTGCTGCCGGGCACCACCGCATCCAGCAGGCGCGGCATGATGTGCACCATCATGACGTAGCCGGTTGCGATCAGCAGTGGGAAGTGCGGGGAGTCGACCATCCAGTTGAAGGCGTCTTCCCCCTCGAAATGGGTGATGTGGTGGTGGACGTAGTGGAACGGGTTGGGGAGGAAGCCCGCCGGCGGCGCCGCGACGGCCGTCGGCATCTGCGCGGTGGTCGCCCTCGTCATTCCTACGGACTCCACAGGCGGGTGGAAAGTTTAAAAAGAAAAAAAGAAAGAAGGTAAAAGACAAAAGAAAAAAGATTATTTATCACGCGGGAGATAAACGGAAGGTGAGTGAGTGAGTGAGAGAGAGAGAGAGCGGACTACGAAACTCAGGAAAAGACAACGAATAACTTTTTCTTCCTTTCTTTTAAGCCTTGGCAGTTGAGGCAAGTACAATGTCGGTGTTGCGGAAGGGAGATATGCGTATAGACTTTGAGTGGTAAAATAATGTGTTTTTGGTCTTTTTATTTATAGATGGTTCTGTGCTCCTGTTGTGCCTGCTTCGAGATACAGTGATTGACTGGTTACTATGTTCACGAAAAGAAAATAATAATAATAATTGACGAAGGTACGTGTCAGATGCAGTGAGAGGGGGAGAGTTAAGAAAAAAGAAGAAGAAAAAGAGAGAGAGAGAGATGTATTCCGTCGAAGCATCATGAGACGCAGGGATGCCCTTCACCTTTTTCCCGTAGACGAGTTGCACAACTCTCCATTCTTTTGTGTTGCTTCTGTACCCAGATGAGTTTCCTCCAAGAGCACTTCGACTGTCGGCGCAGCACAGCTACACAAACAGCCAAATAAGCACTCACACACAGAACGACGACAGCAGCAGAGAAGTGGCCCCGGCCGCTATCACCGAGACTCTTACACTCCACGACTGGGACACGCCACGCAACAGACCGGCGCTCTCGCACGTCATCTGCTGCGCTGAAAGAAAGAAAGCAAAGCAAAAAGTGCCGCTGAGGAGCGCCATCTCCGCGTCAAGTTGGCACGCTTGCGCTCCACGATGCTCTCCTTTCCGTCCCTCCTCATTGTGTTCCTTTCACAGTTTAATTTTCTTTTTTTTGTCAATTCGTTAGGAAGTCTTAGACATGTCGCACACACAGTTAGCAACAAAAGAAAGCGTACAGGCGAAACGGCTTCAACACCAACACCAACAACAGCGAGGAAAAAAACTATCAACTCAAATCGTCACGAGGAGACGGAGGGAAACACACACAAAACCACACAACTGCGAAACACCAAACATCAAAAACACCAAAAACGGAAAGCAATCGTGCCAACTTAACAGCAATCGCACTACAGGGAAAAAGGCTGAGAAAGATAGAAAAGAATAAAGAGTGGTTATCTCACCGGCTTTATTGATGAAGAGCTGACAGGGAGAGAGAGGGGAGGGGGGGGGGGAGGAAGTAAAAGGAGGA